AGATAGATAGATAGATAGATAGATAGATAGATAGATAGATAGATAGATAGATAATGGATGGATAGACGGATAGGTGATAGATAAATAGATGGGTGGATGGATGGATGATAGATTTCAGATATAAGAGATATAAGATAGGAAGACAGATAGATGATGGATAGATGGATAGGTGATGGATGGATGATAGATGACAGGCACAAGACAGATACAAGATAGATAGACTGACAGATACTAAATAGATGATAGATAGATATACATGATAGATACAATAGAGATAGAATTAGATAGACAGACCGACAGACAGAGATATATAGATACAATACAGAATGAGAGATTATTGAAATATGGTAGATAAAGATAGATATAGATACGTGATAGATACAATAGAGATAGCATGAGATGATTAATGTTGGAAGGATAGAGAGATAAAGAGATGGATGGAGAGATGGATCATAGATACACTAGAGATAGAATTAGGTGTGTGAGAGAGAGAGATGGATAGATTATATGAAACTCAACTTGGATGAATATTGACCATTTACTCTATCTGAACAAGAAGATGGTCAAGTCTGCAATGGAAGATTGTAAAACCCACGAGATATTCTACCATATTAGTTACATGTTTAGGAAGCACTAATAGAGCCACTAATCAGCTTTGCAAAGTGTCCATAATTCTCCCAGCATAACCCATGCTTTGGCATCCTAAAGACCAACATAATTACAACACAAATTATCATGGCTTTCGATTAGATGCAGTGAATTTTATTTCAAGACCCATCTCCAAGGGAAAGCAGACCGTAGATAAAGAGAGAAGCGAGTAGCAAATAAAATTAAGAGGTCCAGGCATTTATCACCTATAGATTGTGGCCATTCACCCAAGCATGTTATATGCTCAGACATTGTTTAACTAGAGACCTGATTTGCATATACCAGCCAGATTCTCACTTCCGGTAATGCACCTCTCTGTTTAATTATAACTTAAGTAAGCTCTAACGCAATCAGCCCTATTATGAGTCACTTGCTCTTTAAAAAAACCAACAGTGCTGGGATTAACATGGCTGATGACATGAGCTTCACTTCTAAATCATATTTCTGCAGATTGCCTCTTCGTTCCATGCAATTGGCATTTTTTCCTGCTGTTTAGAGAAGATGAAAGAGGCCCCATATCTGGCTCAGAAATGTTTCTTGATGCAACCCCACCCAGAGTTGCAAAGATGCATCAATCCGTGGCAGAATCCCCAAGCTTAACCACTAAAATCCACCAAGATTTTCAATCATCCAAGTCCTGGTTATCCCAAATGTGCTTTTCCAGGAGGCAACTGGACTTTCTGGTTTTTTCTTTGAAGACATTTTGCTTCTCATCCAAGAAGCTTCTTCAGTTCTGATTGAATGGTGGAAAATGGAAGGATTTATATTCCTTGCAGACAGCTGGTCATTTGCATCCTTTTGAAGGGCCGTTGAGGCCACTTGGAGGTTTATCTGTGTCCTCAGGGTCATCTGAGTAGTGCCCCTGGTTCCTGTATTCTGCAATTTTTTTTCCTCTCTGGAAATCCATTCCTCCTCCCACACCATTCCAAGGGTCCAAATTGTACAGCTAAAAGTCTGCAAAGATTCTCAGTCATCCAGGTCGTAGTTGTCCCAAAGATGCTTTTTTCAGGAGGCAACTGGATTTTGTTTTTTCACTGAAGATGTTTCGCTTCTCCTCCAAGAAGCTTCTTCAGCTCTGACCGGATAGTGAGGAATGGAAGGATTTATATTCTAAACTAGCTCGATACCCAAGCTTCGCTACGAAACTATGTGGTCAGGCTTAGGTTTTTTGGAGGAAAATGAGGGGCGGGATGAATTGAGCCTCTGCCTACCAGCCTCCATTGGTATTTGTCTAGCTAGCATCCTGTAATAGTAGTGCAGACTTTGTAAATAGTTGGACAGTCCTGAGGGAATTATTTGTTTAGCAGAGGGATGGCGTTTGAGAAAAAACTGTTCTTGTGTCTAGTTGTTTTGGTGTGCAGGGCTCTATAGCGTCGTTTTGAGAGGAGTTAAAATGGTTTATGTCCGGGATGTGATGGGTCTGTAGCTATTTGTGCAGGATACAGGTCTTCCGTGGGAGAGAGGTTGGTAGCAATTGTTTTTTTCTGCAGTCCTAATTATCCTCTGAAGTCTGTGTCTGTCCTGTTGGGTTGCAGAATCAAAGCAGACAGTTATGGAGTGATACAGTTTCTGAATGTTTTCTTTGCAAAGTTGCAAACATTTAGCTTTTAACACCTCCGGGACATTCTATTTCTTTTAAGTTTTGGCTGGCCTCTCAACTATTTCATTCATTCATTCATTCTTTAATTTATTTTTTATTAATTATTTTATTTTGTCGAGCATGTATTAAATAACAGATATAAGTATAAAGATGATTATTAATGCATGAAATGGGTAAGAATAAAAGGGAACATTAGGACAAGGGACGGTAGGCACGTTGGTGCACTTATGCTCGCCCCTTACAGACCTCTTAGGAATTGGGGTGAGGTGAACAGCTAAGGGGAAGATCAGGCCGATCCTTGCTCATTCTGCATGGCAAGCTGCGATTTAAAAACCACACTTGGCCAATAAACAGAGTCCTACTCTGAGCTGTGATTTAAAACCATCCAGCTTTGGTTGCTTGCAATGCAAGAATTGCAGTCGGATGTGTCCACAGGTGTATGTAAGTAACCTGGAGGCCCCCAAACCGGGACTGAACGGGGTTCTCTGCAGGTGCAAGGCACCCTTTTGCAGGCAAATCCACCGACTCGGAGGATCGAGGAGGGCCACCGCCCAGCCAAAACTAGCCCGCGGGAGAGTCTGGCCTCCTTCTCTCTCTCTCAGGCCAGGCCAAACTACAGTTCCCGGCGCTCCCCGCGCGAGGGCGCCCCGAGCCGGAGGAAGTGGAGGAGGAGGAGGCGGAGGCGGAGGAGGACTCCATCTCCCGGCGTGCCCCGCGCACACGCTCGGCTTTCCCGTTGGCTGGCTGGGCTGTGCGGCGGCTTCCTGTCCAGCCCGCCGTCACGTGACAGCGGGGAAAGGCCGGGGGGGGGGGCCCTTCGGCGAGGCTGAGGCGGCCGCCGGCGGAGCAGCTGGGTGAGGAGGGGGGCGCCTCGGCGGGGGTCCCGGAGAGGAGGCGGGGGGACGCCGGGGGTGAGGGGAGTGTGGGGGGGGGAGTCCTCGCCAGGAGGCCCAAGGAGGCGACGGCGGCTCCCCGCAAGGAGAAAGGCAGCCTCTCAGGGTGGGGTGGGGGGGGTTAGGGCGGGGGGCGCTGGCTCTCCAAGGGGGGGGGGGGAGGAGGGGGGGGCTCGCAAGCAACGGGGGGGGGGGAGTCTTTTGCTTTGCAAACTGTTTTATAATTGTATATATACACACATGTACACACACACACACACACACACACACACACACTTTTATATATGGGGGCGGGGGAAATGATTTTGCACCTGTGCTGGAAAAACAATATACTATATGTATCTCTCTATATATATGTAATATCTATCTACTTATCTATCTGCATATATCTATCTCTATAATTATCTATCTAATCTGTCTATATTACCTAGTATCTATCTAGCTATCATCTATCATCTGTCTATCATCTATCCCCAATCTATCACTTATCTATATCTATCTAGCTATCTACATCTTTACTATCTATATTCATCATCCATCTCTCCCTACCTACCTCTATCATCTGTCTGTCTGTCTGTCTGTCTATCTATCTATCTATCTCTATAATTATCTGTCTGTCATCTGTCTATATCATTATCTAGTATCTATCATCTGTCTATCACCTATCTATTTATCTATCTTTATCTATATCATCACCTAGTATCTATCAGCTATCACCAATCTATCACTTATCTATGCCTATATCATTATCATCTGTCTGTCTATTATCTATCTATCTATCTATCTATCTATCTATCTATCTATCTATCTCATCTATCATATATCTATCTGTCTATATCATTACCTAGTATCTAGCTATCATCTATCACCAATATGATAAATAGATGATAATCTATTTATCATATATCACCAATCTATCACTTATCTATATCTATCTGCATCTATATAATTATCTATCACTGATCTATCCACCTATCATCTATCTATCCTTCCTCCCCCTTACTTATCTATCTGATCCATTCATTTTCTATCCCATTTACGCAGCCAGCCGTCTTCCAAGGGTGAGTCTGGGCAGGGTACAAGAAAACAGCACTAAAAATAAAACTTGAGAAAACCATGGAAACATAAACACAGCTAATCCTGTGGCAGAGTCCCGTACCATAAGTACCATAAAGCCATTTTGTGCTTTGCAGATCCTCCTCCCCTGAGGGTCCCTGACCAGTAAAAGGCTGGGCTGCCTCACCTAGGACCACCCCTCCCGCTTGCACCTGTGGCTTCTGGGCTCCCTGTGATGCAATGCCCCCCCCTCCCGCCCCCGCACTGAGCAAGCTATGCTTCCTCCTTACAGCTCTCCTTGGCTCTCACTTCTCCCCTTGTGGGCAACCTTAATCTGCATTTCTCCATCTCATAGTGCATGAAGAGCTGCTTCACATGTTCCTTTTTTCTCTAAAGGTGCTCAGTGGAGAGTTGGAAGGGACCTTGGAGATCTTCTAGTCCACCCCTCTGCCCTCTATACCATTTTAGACAAATAGTAGTCCAATATCTTCTCAAAATCCCCCAGGGTTGGAGCACCACAACGTCTAGGGTCTTCAAACTTCAAACAACTTTAAGACTTGTGGACTTCAACTCCCAGAATTCCTCCTCCCATCATGTTAGCTCAGGAATTCTGGGAGTTGGAAGTCCACAAGCCTTAAAGTTGCCAAGTTTGAAGAGCCTTGTCCTAAATGGCAAATCGTTGCAATCTAATTGGTAAATTGCCACCGTGAACTTGTAGCTGTTGGGCTGGATCCAGGCGGCGTTTCTTTGACATGAATGGATCTCCTCAGGCCGACTCTCGTTGGGATCCACCCATTAGGTAGACTTTCTTCTCTCCTCTCTGGTTTGGTTAGCTTTGCCTCCCTGCAATAAGAGAATTTTGAATTTTGCACAGTCGTTTTTCCTTGCCTATTTTCATTAGTCTTGGAGGGGGTGTCGATTGCATCCATCTGCGTGGGGTTCTCCTTCCTCACTCCCTAAAGATGAAGGAGGCAAGAAATTTTAAGCCTGAATACTAGCTATGTTTTTCCATGGATTGGGAATTGGTGCAGCTTTCTACTTCCCCCCCAAAAAAGAAAGAAAAAAGGAGGGTAGAAGATGACCAGAAAACTTGAATGGCCTTGAGTCCACAGTTGTAGGTGTGTTGGATCATTTTGCACATTTGGGGAAGCAATGGAGAGCAGAGCAAACTCTGTTGTGAGATTGTGTTCCTGAGTGATTCAGCACACTAGAAACTAAGCTGTGTGGAGGGAGTGAACTCCTGATCTTACGGATGCCGTGGTGTTAGAATGACGCACAGTGTTGGCTTTCTTGTGTATTTATGATGAAATTAACATAGCCGCCTCTACGGGAGAATTAATGCATCCTATTATATTCCTGTAGCCTTGATATTATCTCGGAAATTCTGCAACCAAGGAGATAGCCGGATAGCATGAAGGGTGTATATATCTGTCTAGATTCCAAGTGGGTATTTGTGTGTGTCTTATGTGTGTGTTTGTGTGTATCCTCATGCAGGACCATCTTTTCAAGTAGTTACAGCTACACTGTAGTCTGCACAAGTGCAAGCCAAGCCAAAGCAAGTAGTATTTCTCAGACTTCCCATAGTAAAGTTTACTAAGACATAATTACTGTACGCAGGCTAGTATCGTAGCTTCAGGTTTTGTTTTTTCTGTTTTTACTCCACAATGTTTTGTTTCTTGGGGGAGGTAACTTGATATCCACAAAAACAAAAAGGCAGGGTGAAAAACATAGCTGTGTTTTAAACAAGTGGCAGAGCAACCGCAGGAAGGGACGAGCACTCTCTCAGAGTTGCTAAAATGCTATTTTGAGGAGGCAAAAAAGGCTGGCTCAAACTTTTTTTTCCATTGGGCCTTCAGGCAGCTTTTAGCTGCAATTCTCCAAATCAGAAAAGGATTTGCTCATTTGTTATTTACATTCTGCTTCTGTGTGAATGATTTTGAGTGCTGGGGTTTTTTTTAAGGCTGCATGGGCAGAAAAATCCTGTTTTGTTTTAAATGGTGGATCACAGTCGAAAATACACACACACCACACACACACACTTCTTAGTTTTCTCTTCAAAAAGGAACATTTTCTGGACATGCAAAGGTTTTCCTTCCCCTTTTTATTGGACAATCTTTAATCAATTCTATTTTGCTTCCAGTATAAATGCGCAAATTTCCGGAAAGAAAGCCCGGGGGCTTGAGCCTTGCTTTGTAACCACTGAAGTAGAAGCTTCTGCAAAATCTGTCTTGGAAAAAGCATCCAGTAACAACACCCATCTTGCGGACTTCATTTATTTAATTTGACACGGTTGTAGTATCCTTCTCACTTCCAGACAAGCCGGCCTGCAGCCCTTAGCTTCCTTACTATAATTAACTTGGAGTCATCACTGATCTCTCTGTGCACATACGCTTAATATAGGCTCTGTTATAGACAAATCTTCCAACCCAGCATTTGTTCCTCAGAGCCAGAAACAAAGTCTTAGAAGGGGACTTTGCTTTGCATCTAAAAATTAGGGAAACGGGTAGCCTTCGACTTAACAACCACAACGGAGTCCAAGATTTCTGTTGTGAAGCGAGTTTTGACCCATTTTGCGATCTTTCTTGCCACAGTTGTTAAGTGTAGCACAACCGAAACGTTTAGTTTTCTGAGTAACTTTTAGCAGGATAAAGATGTGTAATATGTTTAGGAAATAAAGTGGCCTTTAAGGGAACCCCTATATGAAATTGCTGGTGTGTTGAAGTCCGACAAAAATCAATGCCGCCTCCTTGCTGCTCTGCATCCATCATATTTGATCTGATCAAATATTCATCTTCTCTGGTCTCTCTCTCTCTCTCTCTCAGCAGGTCTTCCCCGCCGTTCTCCAGCATGGCCTCCTCTTCCTCAACGCCTCGATGCAACTCAAACTCCTTGGAAAAAGCCTCCATTAAAAAAGTGAGCACCTTCCCCCAGGTCTTCTTTTAAGCTAGATGTTTAATCATTAACTGCAGTTTATGCCTACAGGATCCACAGGATAAAAAGTTGACTTTGTCATTTCTCCCCCTTAGCCCGTGAAAGATGGGACTAACTGGGAACACAACGAAGACATTCCTCGTCTGCCAGGGGAAACGAGAGTCACAGGTAAATGCAGATTCCCTAGTGCATACAGGTAATTCTCGACCTCAACCATTCCTCGAACACCTGTTCTTATCACTGCAATCAGCTGACTGGTCCTTGCACTTAACTGTCTCAGCATCTCCAGTCAGCTGATCAAAATTTAGGGCTTGTCAAGCAACGTATTTATAACCCAGCGTTATAAGATCGCACGGTCGTTATTCGTGACTTTCCCAGCCATCTTCTGAGAAACCCCCTTCCACGGGGGAAGCTGTGATGACCCGGGGTGTGACACAAAAATAACAAAGTCACAAAAGTAGAATAAATTCCCTTTAATGCCTCCAACCTGGCCCCAATGTCCAATTCTTGGCTGGATAACAAACTCTTCAACAAGTCTACAAAGGGCAGAAACGCAGTCCGAAACCAAAGTAAAGATAATTAGAAATAAAAAAACCAACACAAACCGCACTGAAGTAATTAACACGGCAGGCCAGGATGATAAATTGCAGACTTCCACAAGATAACGCAGCACCCACAGTTGGGAGGACGCCAAAACTCAGATAAGCCTCCACAAAGATAATGCATGGTTTGCTTCCAGCAAGGTCCTCTGTGCAAACGCCCCACTTATATCCTGTCCTCCCAGCTGCAACTAATGAAAGGGATCAGGGCCTTTTCCTCTCCCATAAGCCATGTTGCTCCCTTCTCCATTCCTCCCTGCGTGCCCTAGGATGAAGAGGGGAATGGGCCTGGGTCTTCCCCTGAATGCCCAGCTGGACTTTGCCCTTCCCCAGTTTCCTTCAAAGCCACCGGAGCCCCACTCCCACTCCCACTCCCTGTCAGCTGCTCGATCACCCCATGAGAATCAGACTCCAACAAGGGCATGACAGAAGCAGGATTCACTTAACAACCTTGTGCATTGCTTAACAGCTGGGCCATTTTGATTAACAACCCCAACAATAAGGTCATAAAACTCAGCTCAACTGACTTTAACATCTGCCTTGATTAGCAACGGAAATTCTGGTTGTAAGTTGATGGTTACTTGTAATCAGTTGCTCCCAAACCCAAGTCACTTGTTCAGAAAGAATAAAGCTGTGGGCTGCCTAAAGATAACATATTTGAATATTATAGCACTCTGGCCTGTCTCAGAAATAAACATTCAGTTAGATTGTTCTGCCTTTGTTGTGTTTTTGGAACATACGCAGAGTCAGTCTGGGTTGAAAGTGGCCCATTTCAAAACTTAGTTTAGTTTATTGCACCTCATACAACGAAATTGAATGCCATCTTCAGTGTACTAGACACAAGGACAGTTTTTTCCCAAACGCCATCCCTCTGCTAAGCAAATAATTCCCTCAACACTGTCCAGCTATTTACAAAGTCTGCACTGCTATTACTATTAATCTTCTCATCGCTCCTTATCACCCATCTCCTCCCACTTGTGACTGTATGACTGTAACTTGGTTGCTTATATCCTTACAATTTATATGGACTGTTTCCTAGTATGATCTGATTGCTTATTTGTACCCTATGACTATCATTAAGTGTTGTACCTTATAATTCTTGACTCTTGGCGAATGTACCTTTTCTTTTATGCACCCTGAGAGCATTTGCACCAAGACAAATTCCTTGTGTGTCCAATCACACTTGGCCAATAACAGAATTTTAATTCTAATTCTACTGTCAAGATTCAGTGTAAAGTCAACTTATAAGATATTTCTATGGTCTTTTTAGAGTTGCCATGTACATTATAACTATAAAAATAAAACACAAACACACCTCCTTCGCATTCTCTACAATTGAATTGAAATTACCTTGTTGACTCTTCGCTGTGTAATCAAAAGGAAGTTATCATCAAAATCCCATTCGTTTGACCAGGGATGCAGAAATAACTAAGTGTATGTCTTCTCCATACAATTCAGATACGATTTTACAACCATCCCTTGTCTGCTAATGAATAGCATAGGGTCTCCTGCTTGAGCAGGGGGCTGGATTAGAAGACCTCCAAGGTCCCTTCCAGCTCATTCGTTCATCCATTCATTCATTCACTCACTCACTCTAGAGATCTGGAAATTTTTAGAATTTGACAGGTCAATTTGGAATATTCTACCATACCTGAATAAGGATGAAAAATGTGATGGTATTTTTCTAAAAATGTTTGCACGTTTACTTTTCCAACTGTAAAAAGATTATCTGAGCTACACACCATTGCACAACACAACGTCCTCCATTCATAATACTTCATATCACTTCCGGGTTCCCCACTAATCTTTGCCCTGTGAGTTTCTTTATCTCGAGTTCTGGCCTTGATTACCTTGCTATATTTTAAATGCGGAGTTTCTCTTTCTCCCACAGACAAGGAAGTCATTTACATGTGTCCTTTCAACGGTCCTATTAAAGGGAAAGTCTACATCACAAACTACAGGATCTACTTGAGAAGCATGGAATCGGTAAGCAAGCTCTGTGGTCTGTGTGTGTGCCGGAGTCAGCTGCTCTGATAACCTCTCCACTGGGCTGACCTCGGCTGAGTGGCATTTCCAGTTGGCTGAGATAGCTGGCAACTGCTCTTGTCAGATTCTGAATTATTACGGGTTTCTCCACAATGCAGTCCTAGGCTGCATTAACAGAGGGACAGACTCGAGCACATGGGAAGTGTTAATACCGCTTTAGAATGCCTGGTTAAGGCCACACTTGGAACCCTGCCTCCAGTTTTGGTTGCCACAATATTAAAAAAAAGATGTTGAGACTCAAAGAGTGCAGAGAAGAGAAAGAAAGATGATTGATTGGGGGGCAGGAGGCTAAAACATATGAAGAATGGTTGCTGAAATTGGGTATGTCTAGTTTGATGAAAAGAAGGACTAGGGGTGACATGATAGCAGTGTTCCAATATCTCAGGGGCTGCCCCGAAGAAGAGGGAGTCAAGCTATTCTGCAAAGCACCTGAGGGCAGGACAAGAAGCAACGGGTGGAAACTCATCAAGGAGAGAAGCAACGTAGAACTAAGGAGAAATTCCCTGACAGTGGGAACAATTAACCATGAGGACCCAGAGTGTAACACAAACGTAACAAAATGCAAAATGTAAATAAATGTCCTTTAATGTCTCCAACTTGGCTCCAATAATTCTCAGTTGGAGATAAAAACGTACTGAAAAATAGCCTTCCATAGAAAGCAATACAGTCCGAACGTAATGAGCAGATAGAGATGAAATAAAAAAACCAAACAAGCTACAACGATGAAATTTACACAGTGGAACAGGAGAAGTATTTACCGAATTCAAGGAGATAGCAAGGCACAGTCCGTTGGAAGGACGCCAACCAAGATAACTTCAGACCAAAACAAAACACGCTTTGTTTCCAGCGTTTGCCAGTACGCAGGTCCAAACTCTTATTCAGTCCTCACACCTTCAGCCCATGAAGAGGATCAAGGCCCCCTCCTCCCGAGTAGACCACGTGTCTCCCTTATCCTCTCCTCCCTGCGTGTCCTAGGATGGAGAGGGGATGGACCTGGGTCCTCCTCTGACTTCCCAGTCAACCTCTGCCCTTCCGCAGCCTCCTCCACAACCTCCGGAGCTACACTTCCACTCCTTGTCGGCTGTTCCTCCTCTCCCTCAGAGTCAGTCTCCACCAGGGTCATGAGAGTTTGCCACTACAAGTTGTGGGTGCTCCGTCACTTTAAGATCGGACAGCCAATTGTCTGAAACGGTATAGTGTCTCCTGCTTAAGCAGAGGGTTGGACTAGAAGACCTCCAAGGTCTCTTCGGACTCCATCATTTTGTTCCTCTGTCCCCCTCTAGTGACCTGAACGGAGTAGGAACCGATGGCTTGCTTTCTTCCTTCCCTGGAAGGACGCTAGTTCAGCATAGTAACCGAATGGAAAACAAGACTCTCTCAGAGATGCTTTTAAGCTAAATTCTTCCTTTCAATCCAGGGCTTTGGGCTCTGCGTTTCGACTTGCCCACAAGTGCAACGGGATTCCAGAAGAGATTAAGGGTTCTAGAGACCAACCTTTTAAGCCTGATGCTATCTCCGAAGCTCTGAGTCATATGTGGCTGTGAGATCTCCGACCAAAATAAAAGATGGGATAGTTCCAATATATTGCCTGGCCCACATTCCTCCGCTCTCTTCTTTCTTTCTTTCTTTCTTTTTTTTCTTGAATTCTGAAAACAGTACAGATATTCCTCGACTTAACAACCATAATTGAGGTCAGTCGTTCCGGTCATTAAGCAGGTCATCACATGACCCTGCCCAATTTTTTAAAAAGTTTTTTTTTATTTTTATAACAAGCAAAACAAGTAAAACCTTCTTTCAGTTGTACAGTATGCCAGTTTGTACAATATCTGCCATCCTTTCCTCTTAACTTTACATTCGGATTCTATTCTAATCGACATTCCGCATCATATCATTAATATACTATCATTCAAGCTTTAATTTCAATTCCAGGCTATCTTTAAAAGCAGATCTCACTTCTTACTAAATGGTATTCATAGTATAACCTATTCAAAAATAATCATATTATAATATATCATTACTATTGAAAGTATACTTCCATTCCTAGCCGTTGATAAAATAAATCCCAAATCTTATAATTCCCCCTTTCCTTCTTGCTCTCTAATGGCTAATATTAGCTCAAATTTAAGATGCTTTTTTTGATGGTAAACACCACGTTCATTAAGTGAACATCGTAAGTTGTTAAATGAACCAATTCTCCGGGGGGTTTGGGTGGGGGGGAGAAGCCAGGAAGTGCCAATATCCGGCCAAAATCATAAATCACACGCATCATTTCCGAGCACCCCAAATCACGTCAGTTGTCAGAATTTTGAATCGGGGTTGTAAGTAGCCCAGGGAAGATCTGTGGTAACTTCAAACAGCCACCAACTGGTCCTAAGTCAAGGAATACTTGCGTTTCCCTTTTTTAATATCCCGTTTCGACGAGAAGGGCAGTGGGCCAAGATATACAGGGCAGAATTTTAATTTTTTTAAAGGTCAGGCCTCTTGAAATATCCTGGGATTTTTATCGTTGCAGTAGGTAGCAATTTAGTAGATATTTATTAAACGCTTTATGTTGATGGTTATTTTATACTTAATGCTTCTTGCCTCATTGGCCCATTAAGGCTGTTCTTTTTTTTTTTAATTTAATCCGACAGCATCCATCCCATTAAATTGATAACCTTTGTTAACTTTCAAGGTACAGAGTGTTTTATGACAAACACGGGTACAAAAGTGTAATGTGTTAGGAATCCTTTGCTTTAATGTGTATTTCGCCTTTTTTTTTTTCTTTTTTGGTCTGCTCAGGATCCGACCGTGGTATTAGACGTGCCTTTGGGGGTTATTACAAGGATTGAGAAAATGGGAGGCGCTTCGAGCCGAGGAGAGAATTCGTACGGCTTAGATATTACTTGTAAGGTAAGACTTCAAAACCGTGTTGATATTTTCTTATACGAGATCAGGTGTCCAAGAGAATTGGGAGAAATAAGGATTTTCTCAACAACAACAACAATCCTGTGAGATTAGTTGGGCTGAGAGAGAGGGACCGGTGTTAGTTGTAAACAGGTGTATTTGAACAGAGTTCTTAAAAGAAATAAATCATCTCCTTTTAATGACCTCATAATCCCTTGTGGGGTGGAGTCTGGGCAAATGAATGGAGCAAAGTGTTTACTGGCCAGATCCCCTCCCTGTTGCCAGTGTGGAGTTTTGTTCAGCAGATAAATTCACATTGTGCCCTGAAAGAAATATCTGCCTCTACTCTACCTAGGATCGAACTGCCAGGATCTACCTAGGATCGAACTCCCTGACTGTGAGGCGAGAACTCCACTTCTAGGCTACCACACCAAAGTCTGCAGTTAGACAAGTAGATCTCGTGAAAAAAAACGGGCTACATTGCCCACCTATGACTCAAAACCTTACCTTTCAGTTCACGACACCACTAGACCAATTACGTAACATTAATCCTTGATTGCAGGCGTTTCGTCTAAAAAGCATGGCTTGTTTTAAATTTTTAGGATATGAGGAATTTACGCTTCGCCTTGAAACAAGAAGGCCACAGCAGAAGAGATATATTTGAGCTCCTGACAAAATACGCTTTCCCACACTCGCATAACTTGGTAAGCTCTTCTGAATTTATTTTGCAGTTGTTGTGGGTTTCTTTTTTGCCTGTGTACACACACACACACACACACACACACACACACACACACGACAAATAGGCTGAAAAACAGCTTCTATTCCAGGGCAGTAGCTCTGTTGAATTCTAGTGTACGTAGTGCAATATTCATGCAATATCAGGGGTTTTCAATTCAGTGCATAGAATGTGAAGATGTGTGTTTGTGTTCATTTCATAGTCATAATGTACACCGAAGATGGTATTTAACTTCCTTGTACCGGGTGCAGTGACTAAAGTAAATTAAACTAAAAAGCAAATTTGGGAACTGGTTGTTTCACACCTTAACTTTCTTCCTGCTTTAATATTGTGTGTACAACTAAAAACATTTAGAAATGGCAAAGATCATCTTGACAGATAATGGGAATACAGTATTTTTCCCGGATTCATTAAGGGTGCCTACTAGTTCAAAGTTAATGGTTGAATTCAGGGCGATTACTCCAGTAAAAAATAAATTCTCTTCTTAAAGGACGTAACCCGCTTTATGTTTTGGCATCTGACAATGTTTTGGGGCATTCTCTCTCCTCAAAAACTCCTTCAGCCTCTCTCCTTTAAAGAGAGAAATAAACTCTCTTTGGCTTTTTATGTTTCTCTTGAATAAAATAAAAGCAGGTTTTGACTGAGAAGGTTTTAACCCTTTGGGGTTATGAGGAGCAAAAGCCAAGCAGCTTGTTTGCCAAAACAGGCAAAGAATTTGGCATCTTCAATCTCTTTTCTTCTTTGGGCGTTTCACTTCCTAATTTTTCTCGTCCTCTCAGCCTTTCTTTGCTTTTCTGAATGAAGAGAAGTTTGCGGAAAACGGCTGGCTGGTTTATAATCCTATGGTTGAGTACAGAAGACAAGTAAGTTCGTTTTTTCTCTTCTCCTTTGCATTCCCCCACGCTTGTTTTTCAGGTTGCTGTATATATCTATTTCTTTCTGTTCTGTGGCCAAATTGAACCGGATGAACAGAAAATGGGAAGCACGCTAATTGTTTTGTTGTTAAGATTGAGCCAGGCTAGTGAAATGGGATGGATAAATGACCAGGAAGGTACATCACATGGAACAGATTTTTATAAAATAAAATATTGGTATTCTGTATTACATTGTTCATTTTTTAAACCTTGTATTGTGTTATCTATATATATGAAAGCGAAATACCACTCACACATCATCACAAAATCTCCAGAACCGTAAAGGCTACAAACTTGAAATTTGGCATGTATGTTCCTCTTGGCTTCTAGGGACTCACTAAGAAAGGATTTTTCAAAATGACCATCAGAGCATTAATATTTCATATATTATTATTATTAACACGCTCTTATGCTAAGGAGTTCTACTCCCCCTATTGAAACACAAAATTAAAAAATGTGTTCCCCCCCCCCCCCCCCCCCAAAAAAGACCAAGGAAAAACTTTTGCCTTAAACCTCCCATCTGTTACTCCCAAACCATACAGATGCTCAAGGATAAATTGGTGGCCTGTTGCCACCCTGTGGCCATAATCATGCACGATTCGTTCCTCTTTGCTCACTCCCACCTTGTTCCCGCATCAAGATGGCCGGCAAAGACTGTTTTTGGTTCTCTCAAAAGGGTTTGCCTAACCTCCAGTGGAGGGTAACCTTCCTCAACGAACACTACGCCCTGTGCGACACCTACCCGTCCCTCCTGGTGGTGCCGTATAACGCCACCGACGAAGATCTGAAGAAGGTTTCTACTTTCCGATCGCGGTGTCGAATCCCGGTAAGCGACTTCGGTTCTGAAAAGTTTAGTCTCTACTTAAAAACCGGCCACAGTGGAGCCCAAAAATATAAGTTTGCTGAGGAAATTTGTTTAAGCGAGTTTTGCCCCCCTGTTTTACGACTTTTCTTGCTGCGGTTCGTTAAGCGAATCGCCGCCGTTGTGAAGTTAGTCACACGGTTGTTAAGTGAATCTGGCTTCCCCGTTGGCTTGGCTTTATTGGAAGGTCACAAAGGGGATCACATGACCCCCCCAGGGTACTGCAAAATTGTCATAAATGTGAGTCGGTTGTCAAGAATGCAGACGTAAAATCATGTCACCATGGGGAGGTTACAACGGTCCTAAGGGTGAAAAATGGTCCTAAGTCCCTTTTTTTCAGTGCCCTTGTAACTTTGGTCATTAAATGAATTGGTTGTTCTGGCTCAGCTCCCCAAACGTGACCAACCCTCTGACGTGAACTCAAAAGATTCCTTTATTATGGATGCTGGTAACCCCAGCAAAGTTTCTCTTGCAGGCTAACAAGTCCGGCTGGCCGGAAGATGAATAGTTGTTTGCCACATCTATTCATCTTTGCCCCCTGCCTTTTATCCCCAGAGCTAGGGTGGCGCTTCGCTAGCAGCAGTGGCTCTTCTGTCCCAGGAACCGGCCCATAGATTTCCACTGTTCTCCTCTCCTCTGCCTTTTGTGCATCCGCATGTCGGGCACTGCACCCAGCTGTTTCTCCTCCTCTTCATCAGCCACCTCCAGACCTAGAGGCTGTTGACTCTCCATCTGAGGACTGACAGATGGCCCAGGCTCTCTCTCCCTCTCTCTCTCTCTCTCTGACAGCTCCATTCCCTCTTCCTCCTCGGAGCTCTCCGACAGGCCACACCACTGTTGTATAGCGAGGACTAACTGTGCATTGTGGAAACCCGCCGGGCTCTGATGGAATATCTTCTTATTTCTCCCTTAGGTATTGTCCTGGATCCATCCGGAGACTCAGGCTGTCATCACGCGCTCCAGCCAGCCCCTTGTGGGCATGGGTGGCAAAAGAAACAAAGACGATGAGAGGTACCTGGAAATCATACGGGAAACCAACGGCCAGCTCTCCAAACTGACCATCTTCGACGCCAGGCCCAACGTCAACGCTGTGGCTAACAAGGTACCCACAGCCTCCCTCTCCCATCTGCCTGCCCAGAGCAACACCCCTTTCCCAGAGGCGCCGCTTAAGTGAGGTTTTACTCAGAGGCTGTACTCAGCAGGTTCCGACCCGTTCTGGAGAACCGGTAGCGGAAATGTTGAGTAGTTCGGAGGACCAAGAAATCCCACCTCGGACTGGCCCCGCCAACCCCATCTCTTCTCTGCCTCCCATCGAGTCCCTGCTGATCAGCTGGGTCTTCTTTGGTTGCTGTCAGGATTCCAGCAATCGACCTAATTAAATCATGATTCTCGAGCCAAACTTCAAAAAACTTCCAAGGATTCATTAGAGGCGACATCCTGGCACCGCCCTGTATGAAGCCAACTCTGGCATAGGTCATTTACAGTCCCCTGTGACCCTGTTTCCCCCCTCCTCCCCCCTCCCTCGGGTGTGTCATCAATCAGATTCTCCAGTTGAGGATGTTCGCAGGCTGGGTGTCATCAATCACGTTCTCCAATTAAATATATCAGCTGGCAAAAGCTCTGGTATTTTAATTATATTCTTTTAAAGATAAGAATTGAAACCTCCTTTCACTTTCCTCCTCCTTTTTTTTATGGCAAACTGCTAAAACAGGCATAGGAATGTTTTATGAGTTGACAGTTGCCCTGCGCAAGAGAACGGAGCTGGAAAGCAGGTTAGTGGGGTGGAGAGGGAATGGAGATTTTGCAGTATCCTTCCCCTGCCACGCCCACCAAGCCACACCCACAGAACTGGTATTTAAAAAAAAAAAAAATTGAATTCCCACCACTGGTTTTACTCCTCTGGAGATCTCCAGGCAGGCTGACTCAAAGACCGTCCTGGCTCAGCCTTCTGAAAAAAAAAAGTTGTCCTTTTAATAATACATTTGGAGATTCCCAGATTTGCAAAACGCTAACCTTGAAGGAATGGCTTAAGACTTCGGAAACCCTTTCTGGATGCTTGACAAACATTCAGTGTCCGTGGTTAACCCAAGCTGCTATCGTGACCTCACAGCCGCACAATCTGCCTGGCTGTGGGAAGAATGCAACTTCCTGCTAACGAGATTTTAAAGTTCAGGCATCCAAAGGATGAGAGCTACGAGGCCTTTTGTTTTGCCTTCTAGAATTGAAATAGCTCCACCTCGTTTACATTCACCGAAAATTCCAAGTGACTAAACTTTCAACGAATTCATCCCTGATTAATTAGCCAGTGTGGCTCCCACCCCATTGCTAAATGCTGGCTTTAAAAAAAAAAAAGTATGTTTTTGCAGCCCCACGGAGGATAAAGGCATTACTCACATTCGTTCTTTAAAGAGGTAGACTTTTGAAGCGAACTTTCTGCCCATTCTCAAGGTATAGATGGGATTCAGGGGGAAAATTTGACTTGAAAAGTAAACTCGGGTGTGCATATATGTTGTGTTCCACGTGTCTTGTTTACTGTATCCAAGATACTGTATCCTAGAAAATAACCTCTTTTTAAGAGCTTCGTTTTTTTTCTTTATAAAAGCTTTCTTTTCCTTTCTTTCAAAAGTCATCTTGACTTAAAACTTGGGGAAAGTTCAGTGCTTGTAAGCTAAAATATAAGGAGGGAAATAAACAAAAATTTCCTCTTGTTTATGAGAAGTCTAGTGGCTGCATTCCTTCCCTCCTGCTTATTCCCTTTGCTTTGTTGTTTCTCAAGCCACACCCAAGGATTACTCAGTCCCTTCCATAGCTAAAATTAACCGTCTCATTTTACTCCAGAGAGGCCACATATATCGGCTTCTGTGCCACATGTTCTGTATTCTGTGGAGAGACAGAAACGTTCAATCTCACCTAGTTTTGTGTTATTTATTTGATTTGTTCTTTTATAAATCCCATCTTCATTACTTTGTCGGTTAAGCCAAGGCAGCAAAACACACCTAATATGATTTCCTCCTCCTGTTTTGTTTTCCCCACAACAACAACAACCCTGTGAAGTAGGTGGACTGAGAGACTGGCCCAAAGTCATAAAAGAGCTTGGCTGATGGAAGTTTTATTAGGAAAATAACTTGGAAGTTCTCTTTAGCATTTTTGGAATTTCATACAGATACCTATTTCCTGTCTTGGGTTCTCCAGCTCCATGGAACAGTTTTAGTAACTAGTTCAGAGGTCTCCAAACTTGGCATCTTTAAGACTTGTGGACTTCAACTCCCAGAATTCTCCAGCCAACTTTAAGACTTGTGGACTTCAGCTCCCAGAATTCTCCAACCAACTTTAAGACTTGTGGATTTCAACTCCCAGAATTCTCCAGCCAGCATGGCTGGCTGGAGAATTCTGGGACTTGAAGTCCACAAATCTTAAAGTTGCCAAATTTTAGGGACCCCTGAGCTAGACGAAGGTTATGCAAACTTTTTATTTTCTTGTAATGCCGTTTACTTAATGCATCAAGTCCATTTGGCAAAGAAAGATAACAATATTGACATTTAAACTTTAAAAAAATATTTGATTAGTGGAGCCTAGATCCCTAGTGGGATTAGAGGACCCTGAGGTGGGGATTAAATCAGTCCTCGCTCGGAGAAATGATCGTGTTTCATTGCACGCATTGCTCTGTTAGAAAGTCAGTTTTTGTCAGGTAAAAGGAAGTAGCTTTGCAACAATAACTGCTTCTTGGGGGCATTGTTGAATATGGGTGTTTGGATGCATTTTAATCATAGAGTCCCCGAAATGGGTGACCTACAAATATCTACAAATAGCCCTCACAATTGGGACCAGAATTTCTGTTGCTAAGCAAGCTGATTATTAAATGAAATGCACCCAATTTTTTTTGCCCTGGTTGTTAAGTAAATCTCAGCCGTTGTTAAGTGGATCATGCAGTCAGTAAGCAAATTCAGCTTCCTCATTGACTTTGCTGGTCAGAGGCCATCTGGGAAGATCACAAGTAGCAATAATGTAACCCCAAAGATGCTGCAATCGTCAAAAATACACGATGGTTGGCAAGCACCCATATTTTGATTGCAGGACCAGTGGCGATGCGGCCACTGGTCCACATTTGAATGGATCCATTGGGGCCCACAAAGGTGATACCTAACATTCTAACCAGAACTGAATGGTGATTATTTCCCCACCACCACCCTGTACTTGGAAGATGGTTTTACATAACTCCTCAGCGTTTGTGTGAACCAATCAGCTGTGTTGGGAATACCCGTTCCCCGAAAATAAGACCCAGCCAGAAAATAAGCCCTAGCCTGATTTTTCAGGGTGCTCATAATATAAGCCCTACCCCCCCAAAAAAATAAGCCCCAGTTAAGATTGTCAGCCAGACAGACACATTTTAGTGCCGTATTTCCCCCAAAATAAGCCCTAATCCCAGGGTTCCAAGTAATACATCCACAGCAAACAGAACTCTGAGGCAGGTAGATTCCTCAAAGAACAGTTTTATTGAATATATTGTATTGGCACAGACTGGTGAAAACTGATTCTAAAGGTTCCCGTGGTTTTCGCCTAATTAAAAATAAAAGTTCCTTCGCTGCCCCCCGCTTTTCCCCAGTCAGTCACACAGTCCAATCATGACGCTCTCTGGTTGCTCGGTAACTTCACTCCTCCTCTCTTCAGCCACCAGTGGGAATGTCCTTGGTTCTCAGGAGAAACTATTGTGTTTTGGCTACTAAACTCCAGCTATCTCTGTCTCCCTCATCTCCATTGTGGCAATGCTGAAGCCTCCAAGGTCAGCTTCAGAGTTGAAGCAGGTCTTATTTGGGGGGAAACACGAGCATGTGATGACGGCAGTGGTCGTGCGAAGGAAATTAAACGCTCCCTTCCTCTTTGATCCAAGGCAACCGGTGGTGGATACGAAAATGAAGACGCGTATCCAGATGCAGAACTGCTTTTCCTGGATATCCATAACATTCACGTCATGCGGGAATCATTGAAAAAGCTGAAAGACATTGTCTACCCTCACGTGGAAGAATCTCACTGGCTGTCAAGCTTGGAGTCCACCCACTGGCTGGAACATATCAAGGTACAAAGAGGAGGGTTGCTAGGCTGTGTTTGGACCAAGGCTTCCTGAGACATTAACACACACAAGTTAGTCCCCAAAAACTTTTGTTTTATTTTGATGGCTGTGAATTATAGTCATTCACAGCCCGTAAGGAGCCCCAAACAGTTTGTAAATAGTCCCACAGAAGTCTGCCAAAGTACTTCGGGATAAGTCTGACAAGCACACACCTTTATCTTCCTTGAAATGCTGCCAACGACTAAATGTCTAATTAGTTATACGAGGCCAAATGGAGCACAAATTCAACACAGAGCTTCAGAGTTTAAACCGACCAGAATGAACAAAGTTGCTTCCTGCAAAGACTCCTGTCCCTTTGCTCCTCCTTTAAGTCTTATGGTAGAGCCAAACACCTCCAAGCCTTACTCCCGAGTTGCCCCTTTTGTCTTAACTGTTTTTGCCTTCTGGCAGCTCTGCTCATGTGCGCACTGGGAACAGGCTCCCCTTGTTCCTCTGCCTCGCTGCTGTCGGATTCTGGAGGCTCGAGTCGGCACATAACTCCCAGATGGCCCTGGCCCCATCTCTGTGTTGGACGCCAATCCCTCATCCGAGTCCTCCCCAGACTCCCGGCCCGGCCCATGTTCCTCCCCACTGTCCTACTCTGCTGCCAGCTCCGCAGGCTGCTGGTGGACCACAAGAGGCTGACCCACCAGAGTCTGGATGTCCTGTGGTCTTGTTGGGGGTGGGTGGGTCCAAGCTCTTGAAGTCAAATAGCAGGAGGTCCTACCCCCACCCATCTCAAGTTTCGTTTTCTGCTTCCTTTTGCCAGCTGGTTTTAACGGGCGCCATCCAAGTCGCTGACAAAGTGTCATCCGGAAAGAGTTCGGTCTTGGTGCATTGCAGCGACGGTTGGGACCGCACCGCTCAGCTCACCTCTCTGGCCATGTTGATGTTGGACAGCTACTACCGAACCATCGTGGGCTTTGAGGTCTTGGTGGAAAAGGAGTGGATAAGCTTCGGACACAAGTTCGCATCGGTGAGAGCAAAAACAAAGAAAGACAAACTGGTTTGATTCTGTTTGGCTTAAATCCCAACACAGCACAAGTTAGCATAGTGGCCGGCATTGTGAGCCAGCCTCTTGTCTCTGTTCTGACCCAAATCTTGTTCCAAGGAAACAAACACCAAAAGGAGGTAACAGCAAAACCTCTTAATGGTTCTTTACGAATTCTGTTCCTTCCCTGTTAAAAGGCTTTTTCAAATTAATTATCTCTGATATGAACGAGTCTTGCCAAGGTGGTGCAAGGCTACCAAGAACACTAGATAAAGTTGCTAAGAAATATTTCAAACACAAAGAGTCTTCAAACACAAGCCAAGATAGTCCGAATGTCCACAAAGGCTTGAGTGCAAAAACTTCTTTGCTTCCTGCAAAGAGCTCCGTTTTCTCAGCTGGCTTTTATCTCTTAAGGGAGGGGCCATCACCTTGCAGCCTTGCTCCCAAGTCGCCCATGCTGCTGCAGCTGCTCTTTCCTTCAATCAGCCCTACACACACACGCACTGGGCACAGGCTCCTCGGGGGCCTCTTCATTACTGCTGCCAGCCTCCACCATCTCCGAAGGCAGCACTCCACTCCCTGATGGTCCTGGCCCCATCCCTACATCACACGCAGGCCCCTCATCTGAGTCCTCGCTCTCCGAGACCTCAGCCGTCCACATCTGCTGCCAACAAACCACAACAGTCTCAAACTGCAGCTTGGCAACTGGCTGATAATGCAGTTACTGAGAGCAATCCACCCATGGAACAGAAGCTGCCTTCAGAAGTTGTGGGAGCTTCATCGCTGGAAGCTTTCAAGAAGAGATTGGACTGCCATTGGTCAGAAATGGTGTAGGGTCTCCCGCTTGGGTGGGGGGTTGGACTAGATGACCTACAAGGTCTCTTCCATCTCTGTTAACGTGTTAAATGCCAACTTTGCTTTGAGACTTGAAAAGTGAGGTACAGCTGCAGTCCCAAGTCTGCCGCTCCTGTGTTGGCGGTCTTGGTTTTCCCAAAGGCAATGGGACTTCGTTTTGGAAAAATAAGGTCCAGTCACCTTTTGAAAAAGCACCTTTGGGACAACCATTACTTGGATGACTGAGAATCTCCATAAATGTTTATATTTTCATAAAAGGGACATTTTATACCAGGGTTCTCCAATCGTGGCGACTTTACAACTTGTGGACTTCGACCCGTATGGTGGCTGAGGAATTCTCACAGTTTGAAGTCCACAAATTGTAGAGTTGCCAAGTTTGAATACCCCAGTTTTATAAAATCTTGGGAAGCTTTTAAAATATATATGTGCTGTTGCCACTTACATTTTAAGACTCTTCCTGTGTGCTACATACTTCCAAAAGTGACATGCATCATAAATAACTTTTTTAAACCACTTTAGTTAGAATTGAATTGTTGTAGTGGAAAAATAAAAACTCAGTCTAATTTAGTTGGATTTTTCCCCCCCTTCTTTACTTCATTCTGTGTAAGGAAAGCCAGCTCATTCCCAAAACTCTTGTAAGAGACTTTGCTCCTTGTAAAGAGTTTGACTCGTTTGGTTAGTGCTGTTCTCATTTTTTTTCTCTTCTTTTTTCCGCTCCAGAGAATCGGTCACGGAGACAAAAACCACGCAGATGCGGATCGGTCCCCCATCTTCCTCCAGTTCATCGACTGCGTCTGGCAAATGTCCAAGCAAGTAAGCCACGTTGCTTAAAGCGGGTGGAAACTTTAACTGCTATATCCCAAAGGTGCTTTTTTTTCAAGAGGCAACTGGACTTTCTGGTTTTTCCTTTGAAGACGTTTCGCTTCTCATCCAAGTAGCTTCTTCAGCTCTGACTGGATGGTGAGAAATAGGAGGATTTATACTCCTTGCGGATAGCTGGTCATTTGCATCCTTTTAAAAGGTTGTTGAGGCTACTTGGAGATTTGTCTGCGTCAAAATAGTTCTAAGAAGTCTCCACACCCATTTGCACCACTCACGCGATTCTGAGGACACAGATAAACCTCCAAGTGGCCTCAACGACCCTCTAAAAGGATGCAAATGGCCAGCTGTCTGCAAGGAGGATCAATCCTTCCATTCCCCGCCATCCAGTCAGAGCTGAAGAAGCTTCTCGGATGAAAAGCGAAACATCTTCAAAGAAAAACCAGAAAGTCCAATTGCCTCTTGGCGGAGGGGGTGAGAGAGATTGTCTTTGGGACAATCATGACCTGGATGACTGAGAATATCCATCGATACAAAGCTTTGCAATAACTTCTTCGTTCGTTATAAAGTTACTTGTTGTGCATCTGCTGACCCGGGATCCATTTCCGGCTCGATTGTGGTCATAACTTGAGGACTGCCCGCGCTTTGTATCTTATCCTAAACTTTGCATGTTTGTTTTTTTTCCCCTTCCCTAGTTTCCCACAGCTTTCGAATTCAACGAACAGTTTTTGATCACTATTCTGGATCATTTGTACAGTTGCCGCTTCGGTACGTTTTTGTACAGCTGCGACTCGGTCAGAGAGAAAGAGGTGAGTTAATGTGTTGGTGCTATAATATGAAAGCTGTATATGTTTGCTTGCATGTCCAGATCCAGCAGCAACTCTGAGCGATAAGAAACAGGTGATCGGACAGTGGTCAGAGTCATCAATACCCTGTCAGGTGACGGTGTTCAGGTGTACGTTTCTATTCGCAGCTACCGTGTTTCTCCAAAAATAAGACCCTATTGTATTTTAATATTTTTTGCCACCAAAAAAGACACCAGGTCTTATTTTCGGGCGGTGGGGGGGGAGATGTCATCCACTGACTTACCTCACTTGCGTGCGTCGCCCCAGCCTCCTTTTTGGTGTCAGGGGCCTTCAGGAACTTCTTCTGCAGCCAGCAAGGCCGGATCAGTCTGGAGCTCTCTTATCAGCTACAGAGGCCTTCAGGAAAGACTTGCTGGTTGCAGAAGAAATGGGCCGGCCAGGCAGGTGTCGGGGTGTGTGAGGCCTGGCTGCAGCTGTCCAAAGGTAAGTAGTAGGGCAGCTTCATCCCCTCATCCTCACCTAGCTTAATTTTTACCCGTGCACTCTGGAGTGGGCGGGATCTTAATTAGGGCTTATTTGGGGGGGGGGCTTATATTGGACACACGTGTAAAAAATCTAGGGCTTACTTTCAGGGTACGTTGTATTTTCGGGAAAACATGGTAGTCCTGAACAACCACAACTGACTCTGCAATTCCTATCACAAGCTGTGAAGTGAATCGTGGTTCTTAAATGAATCACGGTCGTTCAGAGAACCGCACACTGGGTGAAACCTCTGTGTGAGTTGCAGGATGCTGTAGCTGGCCAGACCTGCGAGCCGGTTGCCGAACATGCAAAACACGATCGCGTGATTTAACTTGTGGGTGTAACTTTGAGGGTGGATAACTTTGGTCATTGAGCCACCAATCCTTAAGCAAGGACTGCCTGCATCTTGTTTGCATGCATCTTAGAAGTATTGCGTGGCCAAGTCATACACCGTTGCAGCTAATCAAGGAGGTGTGAATCTGAAAAGTGGTTTCGAATGGAAGTAGTCCTTGACTTATAACAGTTCCCTTAGGGACTGTTCAAAGTTACAACACCACCAAAAAGGTGACTTATGAACCCACTTTTATGACTGAGGCAATATTCCCCATGGTTACGTGATTTACATTCAGATGCTTGACTCACGTGACGATTCCCTGAACAATCCCGGCAAGAAAAGTCGTAAAATGGGGTAAATGCTCACAGAACAGATTTCTCCCTTAGCAATGTACAATTTGGGGCTCAGTTGTAGTCGTAGCCTGAGGACTGCCTGTGTATATTTCTTCTCTGACTACCTATGGGCGACCAGCATTAAATAAACCTTGCGTGCAGCCTGGGTCCGTCGCGTAATTCAACTTGGCACTGGTTCTTCTCTTTGTTTCTTTGCTTGCAGAAACTGAGCGAGAAAACCTTGTCACTGTGGTCCTTGATCAACAGCTCGAAGTCCAAATATACCAACCCGTTTTATACGAAAGAGCTGAACCGGGCCCTTTACCCAGTCGCCAGCATGCGCCACTTGGAGCTCTGGGTCAATTACTACATCCGATGGAATCCACGGATTAGGCAACAGGTAAAGCATCTCAGTGTCAGGATTCCAGCAATCGCCCTAATTAAATCATGATTCTAGAGCCAAACTTCAAAAACCTTCCAAGGATTCATTAGAGGCGACATACTGGCACTGCCCTGTATGAAGCCAACTCTGGCATAGGTCATTTACAGTCCTCTGTGACCCTGTTTCCCCCCTCCCACCCTGGGTGTGTCATCAATCAGATTCTCCAATTGAGTACCTTCACGGGCTGGGTGTCATCAATCACGTTCTCCAATTAAATATATTTGGGGGCAAAAATTCTGGTATTTTAGTTATAATCTTTTAAAGATAAAGAGTTGGAATGTACTTTTGCTTTCAAACTTTTTTTTTTTATGGCAACTACTAAAACAGGCATAGGAATGTTTCATGAGTTGACACTCAGTTTACTTTAAAAAGAAACATAGCATGGATCCATAATCTCTTTTGTTTAATCAAACTTACAAAGTTGTCATATGCCAAGTCACATCATCCCATCTCTCCGTTCCACTATTCTCTTATCGGGCCTGGCCGCTGTTCTAAGAATCAGAATCAACGGTTGAAAATGCATCCCCATCCTTGTGACTGTTTCCGATTTATGAGCTTTTGGGGGGATGGGGGTAGTCGTTTCGTGAACATTGGGGCATTAATGTCTATGGAGATTCTCCATCATCCAGGTCTCGGTTGTCCCAAAGGTGCTTTTTATTTCAAGAGGCAACTAGACTTTCTTGGTTTTTCTCTGAAGAGGTTTCGCTTCTCGTTCCAGAAGCTTCCTCAGCTTCTCTAACAAACTTCTTCAGAGCTGAAGAAGCTTCTGGGATGAGAAGCGAAACCTCTTCAGAAAAAAATCAAGAAAGTGATGGGTGGGGGAGAAGCACCTTTGGGACATTGGGGCATTAAGCAAACACTGGTTGTTAAGCAAACACTTGAAAAGTGTTTTGGTTAGGAACCTAAAGTAAATGCCCATTTCCAACACAAGTGTAAATCATGGTCATGTGACTACAAGTGGGGCTTGGCTCTCAGAACTTAGGATCGGGGTCATAAGTAGCTTTTTTTCAAGGTTCACATTATTTCCAAGCAGTTGCTGAGCAGCCCCGTCCTAAGGACTACTTGTATTAGCGAAAGCCAAGTGTTTACTTTGCCATCAAACTCCAAGTTTGCTCTTCCCTCATTTTTGTGGCTCAGTGGGTAACTGTTGTGGTTCGCTGGCAGCAGGTACAGGCAGCTGAGGTCTTTGAGAGCGAGGACTTGGATCAGGGCCCTGCGTGTGATGCAGGGATGGGGCCAGGACCATCAGGGAGTGGAGTGCTGCCTTCGCAGTTTGTGGAGGTTGGCAGCAGTGATGAAGAGGCCCCCGAAGAGCCTGTGCCCGGTGCTCGTGCGCGCAGAGCTGCTCGAAGGCAAGAGCAGCTGCAGCAGCACGGGCAACTCGGGAGTAAGGCTGCAAGGTGATGGCCCCTCCCATAAAGGATAAAAGCCAGCCCTCAGAGGTGGGATTCTTTGCAGGAAGCAAAGAAGTTCTTGCACTTCAAGTCTTGTGGAAGTTTGGACTACCCTGGTTTGTGTTTGGATACTTTTGGTTTTGGATATTTCCCTGTAATTAATCTTGTGTTCTTGGCAGCCTTTCACAGCTTTGAAAGGGCTTGGTCTTACCTGGGACAATTAGTTTTGAAAGACTTTTTCCTGTGAATGCACAGAATCCACAGAGACGCGTTAAAAAGTTTTGCTTTCATATATATACTTTGTGTTTATTCAATTGGAACGAGTCAGAACAGTAACATCTTTTTGAAAGCGGATCTGGTCGGCGGATAAAAAAGACAGGCCCGTCTGTGCCATTTTTTCTCGCGATCCTCGAAATTGGGCCAGTCAAGCTGAGAGCCAACGGAGGAAAAAAAAGAGCCGCTCGGCTCGACAAGTGCAGCCTTTGAGGAAAAATGCTGCCAGAAACAAAGAGTCAGCTGTTTCTTTCCTGCAAGTCGGCCTTTGGAGGCCGTTGCCAGCAAGGCGGCCTCGGGAAGAAAAGCCGGCGGCGTCTCCTCTTGTCTTAAACGTTTGTTCTGAAGATGTTTTTTTGCGGGACTCCGAAAGGAGCAGCTTTGAAAGGGATGCGGAACAAGAAGTTAGCTTTTATTTACTTATACTGTCGTGGTTATGTGGTGTATATATGGGAGGTGGTGGCCCTTTGAGAGCTGTAGGCAACGAAATTTCATTTTATTTTTTTATTTTTTTGTAAATAAGTTTTTATTAAAAACAGTTGAACCCAGTGCGACTTTCTTGGCCATCATTTTGGCCATACATACTATAGCATAGAAATAGATATAACAGTTTTTCCTTTTTCCCTACGTTGTTAATTTAACGCTGGTTACATATGTGTTTCTATTTGCATTTATATAAATTTCTATACATATTTACAGCCTAGCTTCTTTTCCATCTTTTTTTTCCCCTTGTAGTCTTTATATTCATATCATATTTGTCCATTATATTTTATTTTCTTTAACTTACAAAGCAACTTTCATTCCTATAAAGCGTCAACGATTTCATTTACGTTCAAAGTGATAATAAAGTTGCTCTATTCTACTATTCTATTCTCTCCTATATTCTTTATTCTAATCTATTCTAATTCTATTCTGTTTTCTCTCCTATATTCTAAGCTATTATATTCTCGTTCTATTCTGTTCTTTTCTCTCCTATATTCTCTATTCTTATTCTATTCTACTGTATATTCTCTCCTATATTCTCAGCTATTCTATTCTGCATTGTATTCTTTTCTATATTCTCTGTTCATTCCTGTTTCTATTCTTACTGGAGAAAACAAGAGTATGATACCTGTTTTAGACTAAGGCTGTACAAATGTTGCGGGTAACCCACAATGTTTGAACTACCAGTAGGAGCATTAAGCCTTTTAGAATAGATGAATTCTTTATGCTTCTCCTTCAGGGTAGGAGGAGAAAATGCATACTGAATAAACTCTGTTTAGACTCTGTTTTATTCTATTCTATTGTATTCTAAACTCTAAAGGACAGGAAAGCAAAGAGGGCTAACGAAGTCTTAAACTTTCCAAAAAATCCAACCAGTACGATCTGTAATCTGTACACAGTTCACCCTTCCCATCTCGTGTGGCTCAAAAGAGTTTTGTTTGTGGCGGCTTCTACATGGGCAAACTCTGTAATTTTAAGACCTTTTCTCTCCGTTTAGCAGCCCAACCCAGTGGAGCAGCGTTACATGGAACTTCTAGCCCTGCGGGATGATTACATGAAGCGGCTGGAAGAATTGCAAATCACGAGCAACCCCAAGCTGTCCAATTCCTCCTCATCGTCCTCTTCCTCCTCCTCCTCTTCCTCCCAGATGATGTCACATGTGCAAACTCACTTTTGAAGGAGAGAGAGAAGCTTGGCTTCTTCTCCCCAAAGCCTCTCGTCACAAAAGCGGTGCTTTATTCCGACCAGAGGGGGAAAAACTACAATGCCTTATCTGAAAGCTTCTTGGGAAATGCTTGGCCCTGTGGAGAGGATCTAAACCCCCGGGGTGGGTGGGAGCTTTGTAAAAGTGGATTTACGTGCCTTTGGAAACCTTTCCGCCTGGGAACGTGCTCTCCGCTATCCTAGAGCATTGTTTTGTTGCTGTTTACTTCAGAGCATCCAAATATATTTAGCTAGCGGTTTCCGTACTAATCGCCATTTGGGGGACTAGCACAATTTCCTTGTCCGTCTCTAGGATGTTACCTCGCTCTGGTTTAGCTGCCTCTCTGGGCAAGCTAAGACCCATCTGGGTCAGCGTGGTCCTTCTGGATTCATCCGTCTGTGTGGCCCTCAGAGAGGAAGGAGCGTTTACTAATTTACTAAGAGAATCTGGCCTCGAGGAAGCATTCACACCACCACGTCTTTCCGACCAAACGCCATTTTGAACGGCGACGGCATTCACAACAGCGAGCTACCAAGAACGGAAAACTTTTCCTGAAAACGTGTGCCTGTTAAGTGATGGCCTTATCTACAGAGCAGATTTAATATTTGATTTTTGAAATGAAGGGAGGGGTGTGTGTATGTGTGTGTGTATTTGTGTGCGTGCGGCCATATCTGTGTGACTGACATTCTGTAGTGGGTTAGCCTTTCCTGACCTACATTTAAAACAATTTGCAGGATATTTTGTGCACTGAAGAAACTTCAAAATCCAGGAGTAAAACAACTTGGAGTCTTCCTCCTTATGTTTTGCACTTCAATTGCTATTAGCCCCAGATAACACCGCTAGTAGCAACAAGGTTGTGTAGGATATCTGGAGTGCGCTAAGTTGTCCGATTCCCTACATTTAAATTTTGCAGGGTGGTTTTCTTTCTTTTTTCTTTTTGGTCATTGTGTTCGGTCTTTTTGTCATATTTTATTATTTGTTCCTTCCAGGAATCTTGTTAAAACGTAACTTAACAAGCACTTGTAAAATCAGCACATTTGATCTTTTAATACATATGCTTAGGATATAAACTTTTAAAGCTGTTTTGGTCATTTCAGAACAAGCGAAACATAGGATTTTGCGAGGACTGTTTGTAGCTATTAAAAGTATTTGGAAGGGGGGTGGTTACTGTATGTAAATTACTTTATGTGTAATTGTGCAAAATATAAGGCAGAAATTATAGGATCAATGTGTAAATTAAGGATATGGAAGTCCGTTTTCTGTAAAGTGTAAATATGATTCTAAAATATAAAGTCAAACTCCAAAATAATTATAAAATTCTTAGTTTTAGAGGACATTGGAATATTTTAGGAATAGTATATTTTCAGTATAAAAGTAAAAATGGAGCACATTAATAGAATAAAATTGTATACTAAGAAATTTGCACTATTTCTTCAGGGATAGACTAAAATACTTAGTAATTTCAGCTAGCTAGCTCACGGATTTTCTTTTCTCATGTTTGTCCTCTAAAATTTCATTCTTTGGTGATGCTTTCGGTCTCCTACGTTTTATTGCACCTATCAGTGGGTACTTTATTAAAGGGAAGTGAGTCGGAGAAATGAAATACGTAACTTGTATCACAAGAAACTCAAACTTAACCCATCATTCTATTCTAAACGCTAGAGCAGAAAACTGAAAAGCTACCCAGACTCAAACATAACTGTCATTTGTTTGCTTGCAAGTTATAAGGCATCTCATTTTTTTCTTTGCTACCGTAAACCTTTGTGCTTTGTGATGGTAAATCCATAAGAATTATTTTCCTTTGGACTGGGGCAAATGACATGAGACATGGTTTTTTGTTTTTTTTTACAAAGTAAAACACTACAGCTGTCAACTCTTTGTGGAAAGTTAAACTAAAGTAATTTAAAATGCCTTTGTTTTTTTTTTTCATTTACCTGAATCTCACCAATTTATGTTGCCAGCACCAAGGCATTGGATCTTGATCTGTAGAGAATTTAAAGTATAACTTGATGAAAAAGCTCATTTTTTTCTTTAAAAAAAAACCACACAACTGGCTTAATTCATTATGAAATAAAAATCAAATATTTAATTTTTTTTTCTGATTTCTTTCCTGCAAGGTACAAGCTCGGGGGTGTGGCGGGGGGGAGGCATCAGTCCTGTGGATTTGCTGAGTTTAGGGTGGGAAATGTCCAGGATAAGCATTCCTTGCCTTGCGCTGCTGCCCTTAATTCCTGGCTGGGGATGATGGGAGTTGAAATCCACCAGATTTGGAAGGTGGCCGCAAGGCCACATTTGAAATACACAGCTGCAAAGAGATCCTGTATCCCATGAACCGTCATTGGCCTGACCACAGCTACCGTAAAAGCATGGGGAAGACCCAAATGAGAGAAAGGCACATGGGATGTGGAGTCCCTTATGAGAGAGAGAGAGAGACAGACAGGCAGACTTGCCTAGTAAGAATGGGAATATAAGCATTATCCCCAACACTTGTCCGTTTCCCAGCTTGGCATACCCACACCTGCACTTCTCCTTTGGCACACCCACTTTCCCATTCTCCCACTTTGCACACCTTGTCACAGCTTTGCACACCCATGCTCCTTGCACTTCTTCCTCAGCTTCACGCACACAATTCCATTCCCTCAGCTTGGCACAACCCACACACCCCTTCTCCATCCGCCCCGTTTTGCACACAGGCTTGCACTTCTCCTTCCCCAGACTTGCACGCCCACACCCCTTGCATTTCTTCCCCAGCATCGCACATTCACTCGCATTTCCCCTGCCTTGCACACCCACCCACACCTATTCTTTTGCACACTCATACTTTCACGTCTTCCCTTGCACACCCACACCTTTTGCATTCCCCAGCCTTACATGCTTGGGGCTTCTCGCACTTCTCCTTCCCCAGGTTTGCACAGCCACTCTCCCATTCCCTTGCTTTGCACACCCACACCCCTTCTCCAGCGGGCCCCAAGCTTTGCACACCCACCCTCGCATTTCTCCCTTCCCCCAGCTTAGCACGGGCACACTTCCATTCCCTAGCTTTGCACACCCACACACCTCTACGGGGCCCCAGCTTTTGCAGGCGCACACTCGCAGCACCGCTTCCCCAGCTTTGCACGGGCTCCTTTCCTTTCCCCAGCTTTGCACACCCACCACCACCCTTCTCCTTCCCCAGCTTTGCACGGGCTCCCTTCCTCCAACCCCCCCCACCCCCACCCCGGCCTTGCACACCCACCCATCCACCCACCTTTCGCAGCCCCCAGCCTTGGCCCTGCGCGATCCTTCTCACTCTCCCCCGCCCTCCCACGACCCCTTCCATCCTTCCCTTTCCCCCCTTCGGCGTCGGAGGCCCGGCCCGGCCCGGCCCGGCGGCCCCTCCTGTTCGGCTGGCGGGCTCCGGCGCGGAAGCGGCGGCGGCGGCGGGGCGCGGCGTCCAACATGGAAGGCGGGAGGCCGGCGGCGGCGGCGGCTCTAGGCAGCGGGCAGGGGGCTTCGCTGGAGCCCGGAGGCCCGGCCCGGAGGCCCTCCCGCTTGGCAGCCCCGCCGGCGGCGGCGGCAGCGGCCTCCTCCTCCTCCTCCTCGGGCCCGGCCTCGGCCTCGCCCGGCGCGGAGCAGCCCGCCGACAGGTGAGGAAGGCCGGGAGGGAAGGAAGAGCTGGGCCTGCGCGCTCCTCGGGAAGGGCGACTCCAAAGCCCAAGGTGCGCGGCCTGGCCTGGCCCGGTTTGTCCGCGGTCGCCTTTATTCGGGTGATCAGCGGGCGGGGCGGGGAAACATGGGCTTTGTCGTCCAGCCCGGCGGGACCCGGGTTGACATAAAGGGAGAGAAGTCGAAGGGGGGGGAGTTGAGGGGGGGAGGAGAGAGACCTCTGGGCAACATGGGCTTTGTGGTCCGCCCCCCACCCCCCGCAGCCTGGAATTGCTATTGCCTTCAGAAAAGAGGGTTCTTGTAGTCCAGAGCAACTGGGGGTGGGGGTGGAGGTTCGCTCTTTTGGGGTGGGGGAGAAAAGGTAATTGGCGATTGTAGTCCAGGTGGGTGACAAGAGGAGCTCCTTTTGGGGTGGGTGATGGGCTTTGTAGTCCAGCCTTGTAGGACCGGGGTTACCATAAAAGTTTTGGGGACGCGGGGCAATGCGGGTGGGGAGAAGAGCATGGAGTTGGCCTTTGGGCAACATGGGCTTTGTGGTGTCCGCGACCCCTCCTCCCCCCCAGCCACCCTGGCAGCTTGGAGTTGCTATTGCCTTCTGGAAGGGGGGCTTTGTAGTTCAGAGCAACTGGGGCGGTGGGGTGGAGGTTGTCGCTCTTTTGTGGGGGGGGGGAAGGGGATGGGGATTGTAGTCCAAGTGGGTGACAAGAGGACTTCTTTTGAGGTGGGTGATGGGGTTTGTAGTCCAGCTGGGTTGGGAAAGGAGGACTCTGGGGGTGGGTAGGATGGATCATTGGGGGCAAAAAAATTTATATATATGTATGTATGTATGTATGTAGGTATATATGTATGTATGGCATTCAGCTTTGTTCGGGTATTTTCCCACGTCATTGTAGTTGTACTTTTAAAGTTGTAAAGACATTTCAGCAACTTTAAAAGCACAACTACAATGACGTGGGAAAATACCCGAACAAAGCTGAATGCCATACATGTAAGTACCCGCGAAAACTTAAGAAAATATTATATATATATATCATCAACTTTTTCAAATCCTCACTTTGCAGCGCTGCCCTTTTCGCAGCTCACAAAATAAGTACAGGTAGTCCTTGACTTAGGACCACAGCTGAGCCCAAAGTTTCCCTTGCTAAATGAGACAGTGCGTCATTTTACGACCCGTTGTTAAGGGAATCAGCATTTCTTAAGTCAGTAACCCTGTTATTAAGTGAATCTGGCTTCCCCATTTACGTTGCTTGTCGGAAGGTTGCCCAGGTGGGATCACGTTACCCCAAGCTACCGCGACCATCATAAATAAGAATCAGTTGCTAAGGGTCTGAATTTTAATCACGGGACCAAGAGGAATATGCCGGAACCGTTGTAAATGTGAAAAAAAAACGTCATTTTTTCACTGCCCTTGTAACTTTGAACCGTTACTAAACGTAAGTCGAGGACTACCTGTCTAGAGAGAAAGCAGTTTTCCCAAAGTCAAATCCCATGTTACGTGTCCTTTTGCAGCCCTACAGGATCCCATGTTGAGTGGTGCAAGCAACTGATAGCTGCTACAATTTCTAGCCAGATTTCAGGCTCTGTCCTTTCGGACAACGCATCCAGAGAACATCGGGTAAGTTTTTAATCTTAATTTATTTCATGTATCTCATCGGTAGTACTGAGAGTTTTAAAAATAGAATAGAAATTGGAATTCTTTATTGGCCAAGTGAATTCTTTATAGAATTCTTTTTTAAAAAAAAATAAATTTTATTGAATATAAACATTAAAAACAGTGAATATGGTATCTCTTCTTTGACATACATTTCTGTTCAATCCCTTTACAATTAGGGGGAAAAACTTCAAGAACAAAAAAAGAGGCTTATACATATACATACATACATTTTTATGCATCATATTTTCCATTTTTCTTTTGTTCTTTTTTTGTCACCTTCTTCACTTAAGTTCTGTGAACTCCCTTTCATGTCCCTCCAGTTGTAAAATTTGTTCCATATTTTGTAATATTCTAGTTCAGTGATGACGAACCTTTTCGGCACCGAGTATCCAAAGTGGAATATGCGTTCATGCGCATACATGTCTGTGTGCCGGAGTGCCAGAAACCCTGTTTTTTGGCTAGTTTTGGCCATTTTGGGGCCATTTAAGGCAGTTTTTCGGGCTGTTTTCAGGGCCGTTTTGGGGGACATTTTCAGGCCGTTTTTGTGCTGATTTTCAGGCTGTTTTGGGGGGGCATTTTCAGGCCATCTTTCAGGCTGTTTTCTGGGCTATTTCAGGCCATTTTTTGGACCACTTTTGGTTCAAAAATGGCCTGAAAGCAGCCTGTAAGAAGGCCTGAAAAAGGCCTGGAGAACAGCCTGAAAAAAGCCCCAAAACAGCCCCAAAATGGCCGTTTTCCGGAGCTCCAGCACCCCGAGGACCAGCTGACTGGCGCACATGTGCATGTCAGGAACCAGAAGAGCAGCTGGCAATGGCGTGCCACCTGTGGCACATTCGCCATCGCAGTTCTAGTTCGTCTTGTCTTTATAGAATTCTTTATTGGCTAAGACACGTAAGGAATTTGTCACGGTGCATAAACTCTCACAACAACAGTGACAGATCATTAATTGTAATCAATGTAAAAATGCATCCGTCATAAAACATTAGATGCAACACTTAGCGATAGTCATAGGATACTAAATAAGCAATCAAATTGTCATAAATGTCAGCTAAAATATAACACAGGTCATCCTGGACTTACAACCGTTCATTTAATGACCATTCAAAGTCAACATTGAACGGCAATGAAAAAATGGACTTAATGACCGTTTTTCACACTTATGACCCTTTTAGCGTTCTCCATGGCTGTGTGATAAAAATTGAGACGCTTGGCAATTGGATCATACTTACGACCGTTGCCATGTCCCGGGCAGGGTGTCACGTGATCCCCTTTTGCGACCTCCTGTCCATGGGGAAGCCGGATTCACTTAACAACCGGGTTACCAACTGATCAACTGCAGCGGTTCACTTAACAGCGGGGCCAAGAAAGCTCGTAAAATGTGGCAAACCTCACTTAACAAGGGCCTCACTTAACGACAGACATGCTGGGCTCAATTGGCGTAAGTCGAGGACTAACTATGGCACAGGAAAAGGGCAGTTATTGGTAGTGCTCGACTTACGACCTGTTGCTTAGGAACCGTTTGAAGTTGCAACAGATCCTACCCCCCAAAAAAATGTAGATTCAAAATTCTCACAATTAGTGCCTCCCTCAAAACCATATGAACACATTTGGGGTTCTCAGAAACGAATAAACATCCTCCCCCCCGATTTTTTCCTGTTTCTTAGTTGATATTTTATTTGTTTAAGTCCAGGTAAGTAAAAAGATCTTCAAACTTAACTACAATTTGGACAGATAAGTTATCTCTGCCATTACGTTGGCTGACGGAATTGGAGGTTAAATTTCCCTTCTCCATATATCTTGGGTTGTTTTTTTTTTTTTTGTAATTGGATTTTTTTTTCCCCCACTGAGAACTTGAAGGAATATTTTTACCTAACTTCCTGGAGAACTGTCCCCAATCCAAGTCAAATGTTGTATTTACTTCTCACATTCTGTTAAGAATGATAATAAAGAACAAATAAATGCACAATGATAGAATATTATTGAGACTATGTTAGTTCTAACTTTGGGTGTGTCTTGTTCAGTTAATTAATTGAACCTGGCTGAAACAAGGCTTAAATAGTTGCCTAAATTTATTCAAGAGACTACCCAGTAGTAGTGAATTATTGGCTACCCTGTAGTGGTGGATTATTATTTAACTCTGCAGAATAAATCTGAATATTTTAGTGGTACTAGTTTCCTGAGAATACCAGGTGTGGAAGGAATTAAATTATTTATGCATCTATGTTAAAATTCAAACCTCACCTTTGTTTTTGTTTTAATGACAGTATTTTCTTTCTTTTTAAAAAAAAAATCAGTGAAGTAATATTTTGATACTATTATCCCAATTCTGCTGATCAGAGATTTAATTATTTGGTTTTTTTTAAGCTTCTGGTCTTTGTGATATTTTTTGGTCAACACCTTCAAGAAATTAATGGTAGAGATTCCATATTTGGGGGGCGGGGGGAAGTCCCTTGGTTATTTGAAGATCCTTAATGCATTCATATTCAATCTTGTAATAATAGATATATAGATATATGGTCCTGATTGGGCTTTTGAGAACTTCCTCACAGAAGTGGCTTCGCCTGAAATCAGGATTTCAGTTTATAACTTGTTGGATAATATCTGTATTTTAACTAACAGGTATACAGGAAGCCCACCATAAGGGTAAGAATATATGTGGCTATCAGCAAGTTAGACTCTTACCTATTTTATGTTTTTTTTTTCCTGTTGTGTTCAGAACTTGATGTGCCTTTGGTGTGTGTTCTTCTTGACTTCATTAATGGTTGTTTTCAAGCTGCTGGGCCATCTCGCTATGCGGCATAACAGCTCATTTGCCATAGAACCACTGTGCGTACATTCCAGTGCTTTTGTGAACAATACAAACCAGATTAGGAGTATTTTTAACTTTCATTGGAAAGGCAGGGAAACAACTTAGGTGTGATGACCCAAAGGGGCATGGCACAAAGGCAAAACAGCCAGATAATCAGGAGTCCTTTTATTAGCTCCAGTTTTGCCCCCAATGTCCTGGTTACCTTCTGGCTGGAGAAAAACACTCCCAAGAACAGCCTTTGGCTGCAGAGTCCAAAACATGGTCAACAAAAACTGTAACTATAAGTCCAATCAAGGCAAGATAAGATAATTAGTCCGGCAGGGCAAGAGAAGGAATTCCAGGCGTGAAGGCATGGCAATAACTCAACATGGTTGGGAGGATGACAGGAACACAGTTAACCAAAGTCAACACAAGATAAACTCATGTTTGTTCCCAGAAGACGCGGCACTCAGCATGCATCTTTTTTAAACTCTCTTCCCAGGTGTGGCTAATGAAGGGAATCAGGGCCCTTTCCTCCCCCGTAAGCACGCAACCCACATTGCTCCCTTCTCCGTTCCTCCCTGCGTGCCCTAGGATGAAGAGGGGGTGGGCTTGGGTCTTCCTCTAAACTCCCTCGCCCTTGTTCTACTTCTCCCCTGCTCTGCCCAGTTGGATTTGGCACTTCCACCACTTTTTTCCATAGCCAATGGAGCCACACTCCTGCTCCCTGTCGGCTGTTCATCTTCCTCCTTGGATTAAGACTCCGACAGGGGCAGGACACTAGGTTTCATCCTATTAATTCTGACAAAATGGGTCCTCTTGCATGGTGCAGATGGCAGAGGACAATATTAGCAGTCGGGGCGCAGATGGTATGCTCAAGTGGTTGGAAAGAAAAGTCTAAGGAAAGCCTTAATATAGTCTGGGTGCCAACAAGAGGCCAATTCATGCCTCCGTTTACACAAGCTTGATTGTCAAACTCTTTGGAGAGGGAGTCTAATTCGGGTCTGACGGGGTTTATCACTACAGTAGCCAGTAGCGTGGCTCCCCAAATTTTTAAAAACAGATTCCTTCTTGTATCCCCAGGTTGCTTTGCAAAAAAAAAAAGGCAACTGGGTTTTCTTTGTTTTTCCTTGAAAACGTTTTGCTTCTTATCCAAGAAACTTCTTTGGCTCTAAAGAACCTTCTTGGATGAGAAGCAAAATGTTTTCAAGGCAAAACAAAGAAAGTCCAGTTGCCTTTTTTTTTTTTTTGCAAAGCACCTTGGGGACAGCCGTGGCCTGGATGATTGAGAATCTCCATAGAGATTCATTCGGTGGTGATTTTTTTTCCCCTTTTCTTTTGGCTTTGCCCTCCTTTCCCAGAAAGTGCTCCTCTTTCAAATGATCAAATAGACAAAGCAAGAAATATATATATATATTTTAAAAAAATAAAATAAAACCAACTTGGACTGCTTACTATCTGCTTCCCTACTTTATACGGAGGCTTCTAACCATATAATGAGTACTGCATGATGCCTATGGCGAACCTTAAAATGAAATATCACAATGAAAAATCACTGCCATAAACACATTTGCTTTTAAGGTTTTTTTTTTATTTGTGAAAGCCAAGGGTTTTATTTTCAGTTACATATTGCACAGTGTTAGCAATTTCTTTTCTTCTTCTCCCTATCTGGATTGCCCAGCGTTCAGCCAAATCTTTTCTAGCTTCTTTTTTTTTTATGCCAGAGTCTTCTGCTATATTCTACACCCTTCATCTATGACAGACGAGATTTAAAACACAACAGCTCAGTTCTGCTCTTTTAAATAATATTCCAAAGCGCAATCTACCTTAATCTTCTGAAGGTTGGCTGCTGATGTTTTGAAGGCCAATTGAACTCCGCTGTCCGAATGAAAGGGACCTCCGCGAGAAGAGATAGGGAATTTATCCAGTGCTTTGGCTCCATAAGGGAGCATGGAGATTTAGGTGGGCAGTCAAAGCCATTGGACAGAATTCAAAGCCAGGGAAAGAGAGGGCTCCGTGGTCAAAAAGACCGCCCTGTCTGCAACTCTAGAGCAGGCGTCTCCAAATTTGGTGACTTTGGGTCCTGTGGATTTCAACTCCCAGAATTCTTCAGCCAGCCAAGGCCAAAACTTCCTGCTCTAGAGGAATCCTTTCAAAGCTTTCTGCACCATATTGACTTTGAGATAAGAGGTGTTTCAACCTTAGCAAGTTGAAGGCTCATGGACTTCAATTCCCAGAATTCCCATGGTGGCTGGGGAATTCTGGGAGTTGAAATCCGCAAGTCTTAAAAGTTGCCAAGGTTGGAGATATCAGTTGACCTGGAAAGTTCTCCAAAGTATTGAGTATTGAACATGCCCTACCCGTTGTCTCCGCTACAAATGTTCACAGTTTCAGGCACAAATTGACTTCCGTGGACCTTACTTCATCCTTAAGTGGTCATTAGAGGGGCATGCCTAAGCGCACTAACGTGCCTGTTATCCCTGTCATTTTATCTCTATTCTCTTATTCTAGTTCTCATTTTTGTTTGACAAATTCCAATAAACAAACAGCAATAGAGCATCATTCCTGGATCGACCCGGCTCTTGGGAGGAGAACCTATGACATGCAGTACCATTTCAACCTGGCGTTTTAACCGGACGATCAGAACCCTGGGACAGCACATTTTCCTTATTCTCGCCCCAAATGAGCAGATTCCAGACAGTTTCATTGCATTCTTAGCAAAAAAAAAAAATTCTCTTAATGGAACCAGCGAGGGAAGGGGGAAACGCCATTATTCAATCTTCAAATTGTTGCATGGTTTCTGTAACTGCTACCAAGATGTGCTGTCAATCAGTTTCCTTCTGTCGTGTTTTTTGTTTTTGTTTTTAAGCATGCTGGGCTACGTTTATCCTTTGCATTTTGCCTTTTCCTGTTTGAGAGGTTAAAAGATTTCTCGTGTCGAAAGGACAGGGCGTACTTCGTGTTCCGTGAGATGAAGGCTCTTCTCTTAGAAGGATAGAAATGCATGCATTTCTGTTCGTTCCTTTAGTTTTGTTTTTCCTTTTGTTTTTTTTTAACCCCGCCAAATAGCCAGTTTTGTAGGCGCCAACCCTGTAGAGTTTAATGCATTCGATTGGGGAAGGTCTATGTTAAAAGTATCCGCTGTCTCTCTCTCTCTCTCTCTCTCTCTCTCTCTCTCTTTTTTTTTTTGCAAAAAATAATAATAATAATTCTGTCCTTTCACCTTGTTCTGTGCATGTTTTTCCTCCTTCCGCCCCTCTCTTACTTCCGCTTGCCACTCGCTGCAATTCAGGAGATTCAGGATGGACGCAATGGCTATCCTTCTGACGCAGAATTTGATCAGGTTGACATTTATACTCCTATTTCGTTCCCCTAACTTAAACAGCTCGTGTTTTTTCCGTGGGGCAATGGAAACTCTGCGGGGGTTTTGTGTTTGGTTTTTTTGGGGGGGGTTAACCTGTTCCTCCACAGCTTGGCAACTGAATGGAGGACATGAAACATGGAGACCCGAACAGGGCTGTATGTTTGGAAGAACCTAGCGAATCTGTTCCTGCCAAGGATAGGATTTTGCTGAACTGGGGGAGGTTCTTCTTAAAACGCCCCAAAAGTTAGCCTTATTTCCCCAGGGACTTTGAACTTTCGAGCAAGGGTAATCCTCGACTTACAATTGTAATGTGCCGAAGTTACGATGGCCCTGAGGGCTAAAAAGATACTCCTTTGGTCTTTTTAGCTGCCAGAAAAAGGGAGTCCGGGGGGAAAACAAGGCATTCCTTAAATGCCTAGATAATCACCTCAGTAGCCCAAAGTTGTCAGAACATAAGAAAGTTATCGGAGAGCATGATGGATGACTCTTGGAGAAGGATGTGTCCCATTGGAGAAGTCACATCCAGGGGTGGGAGGAAGACCAGGGTCAAGGGGGAAGTGTATAATGTAAGTTAGTATCGGCTGCATCCAGCTTACGCCAAGATGGCCACTCCTAATAAATCAATTTTATTGTCTCTGAGAGACGCAGCTAGAGACTTTTGATTTGAATGGGGGTGGATTTGCTGGAGTCCTGACAGCCGGCCGATACTAAAATTACATCATACATTTTTCACACTTAACGGCCGTTGCAGCCTCCCAATCAAAACTCAGACACTCAACAACCGACTCGTATTTACGACAGAGGTCGTCCGATCCCCTTTTGCATCCTCCGGGTGAGCAAAAATCACTGAAGGAGCCAGATTCACGTAACCCCCGCCTGACTAACTTAAGAACTGCGACAGGCCGCTTAACAAACTGTGATGAGGAAGGTGTTAAAAGGCGCTTAATGACTGCCTCGCTTAGCAGTGGAAAGCTCAATTCTCTATGACAGTCGTAAATCGAGGGCTACCCATAGCCATGAGGTAGAAAAGACAGAGCCACGGGGCCTTGAATTTTGCCCTTGGGGCCACCGAAACGTCCTTTCCTCCGTTATCAATGCCACACAATGCCGGTAACGGAGCCACCATGAACGCAAGCCGGGCTGCCTTCCTGTACAGGTGTGATCTCTAAGACTTCCAGCAGGTGAGGAGGCTTACGAAGCTTGGCTTACAACCCCCGCCTCCGTTTCCCTGAGCCTTGCTGAAGCCTTTTTAGATCCAGTAGGACCTTAACAACCTTAGTCCACGCTTCTGGAATAATCAGCCTGACTTTTGCCTCAGTGTTTTTGCCACTTAACCCTTGTCCGCTTCGTCAGCGTGTCGTCAAGAGCAAAGCCGTCCAGGTTCACAGAAGCTCCATAGGACCTGGACAGATTGACTCTTGCCTTGATCCAGCAGGAGAGATCCCCAGATCCGCCACAGGGGTCCACAACTCCTCCCCTACTACCTCGCCTGCTTGGGAATCCATCCAGGAACCCTTCCTTTCGCCATGGGGCGAACCCCATGGGTAACTTCCGCATAACTCCTGAGCTTCGTCAAAAGGTCTGCAACGGAAAACCCCGCATTAGCCGGATCGGCCGCGGCCGATCCATCGCAGAACCCGAGGAGTAGGGGATGAGCTGGAATCCAAGTGGCGGGATCCTGTGATCTCCCGGCTCTTTGTCTGCAAACAAGCGTCTGCCTCCCCCCCCCCCCCCCCCCCCCCCGCTGCAAATAATACCCGAAATTTAATTTTCCACCTTTTGGATCCCTGCCAGGCCCTGAGGGATGGCAACAAGCTGGCCCAGATGGAGGAAGCCCCTCTGTTTCCCGGAGAGTCCATCAAAGCGATCGGTAAGTGAGACGGACCCCCCCCGCCCCCTTAAAATGAAGGCGTTTCTCCTTGGCTAAAATGTCACCGGCGAGCCATCTCCCTCGCCGTTCGATAGCTTCCATTACGCGGGAACACAAGATTTTCATCTTTTGCATCCTTAATCCCTTCAACCCCCAAAGCGGGTCTCGCTGAGCACAAAAAGGCGACTCCGCCTGAAAAGAATTTTAATTGCGAATTAACATAGAATTAAGCAAGCCACGAGATGGCTGTCTCTGCGTATAATCCCGCAGATTACTTAACTGCTCAGCAGTTTTCATCCTGATGCTTTGTTGTAGGGGAGAGAGAGAGAGAGAGAGAGAGAGAGATACACACACACACACACACACACACACACATATAAATATAATTTTACACACACAGACACACATATATATATATTGCGATCATGTTTCAATACTTGGAAATGAAATGTTGGCGCTCTAAACTGCGTCTTTTTTTCTTCTTCTCTGAAACTCCACTGAAAAATTAAAGAGAAGGCCGTGGGGATTCTCAATTGCCCAGGTCATGGCTGTCCCAGAGGGGCTTTTCCAAAAGGCAACTGGAATTTCTTGTTTTGTTTTTTTTTTCTTTTCCTCTGAAAACATTTCGCTTCTCACGTAAGAAGCTGAAGTCAGGGGCTGCCCCAAAGAAGAGGGAGTCAAGCTCTTCTCCAAAGCACCCGAGGCCAGGACAAGAAGCAACGGGTGGAAACTAATCAAGGAGAGAAGCAACTTAGAACTAAGGAGGAATTTCCTGACAGGGAGAACAATTAACCAGTGGAACTCCTTGCCTCCAGAAGTAGTAAATGCTCCAACACTGGAAGTTTTTAAGACGAGATTGGACAACCATTTTGTCTGAAGTGGTATAGAGTTTCCCGCCTAAGCAGTGGGTTGGACTAGAAGACCTCCAAGGTCCCTTCCAACTCTGTTATTCTATTCTATTCGAAGCGATGCGTTTTCAAAAGAAAAACCTAAGAATGTCCAGTTGCCTTTTGGAAAAACACCTTTGGGATCAAGGTGAGCTGGTTGTAATGCATTTGCTATTTCTGGCTGGCTGAAGTCCACAGGTATTCAAGTTGTCCTTCCCTGGAGATCACTTGCTCGATAACGTCAGTAGAACAGCACAATACTTGCTCTAATGCCGTACTTGCTCTGTGGTAATATCAGGAAAACTTTTCAATTGATACGATAGTCTTTTTTTCTGAGGTTTTGACGTGATAAAGCTATTAGACATCTAGCTACTATAATCTAAGCAACTTATGTGGGAGGAAATTAAACAAAAATTATTTAAGGATTGGAGCAGGCACTTTCATTCCATCAAAGAAGTTGATCCTTCTCATTTTGGATGGATATATAATGACTTGCGTGTATATATATACATATACATACATACATACATACATACATACATACATATATATGTCACAATATATATATATATATATTGTATAAACCTAAAATTTAAGACCTCATCTGTGCTTAAACATTCATTTATTTTTGAAATGAGAATCCTTGTGCCTTTAGCATTTCCTAAAATTGACATAGCTTGATCTTTATTTGACTCTTCTATTGTAAAAAATATGAAACTACAAAACGAAGGGGCCTTGCTATGCAAAAGGACTTTATGCCACCCGTCACGCCGTATTCAAATTGGGATTTGAAAGCAGAGATCGTATCTTGCACGAAAGAGTTTTCACTGAAGGGATGTAAGCACTAATAAAATATCACCTTTTCCCTCAGCTAAAGACGTGGTCTATATCTGCCCGTTCATCGGAGCCATCAGTGGCACGTTGACAGTGACTGATTACAAAATGTATTTCAAGAATGTTGAGAGGGTGAGTCTTTATTCTGTATTGCACATCATGCATTTTCTTTCTGGGATAGAATAGAATAACAGCGTTGGAAGGGACCTTGGAGGTCTTCTAGTCCAGCCCCCTGCCTAGGCAGGAAACCCTACACCACTTCAGTCCAATCTCTTCTTTAAAAACTTTCAGTGTTGGAGCATTCACAGCTTCTGGAGGCAGGTTGTTCCACTGATGAATTGTTCTCCCTGTCAGGAAATTTCTCCTTAGTTCTAGGTTGCTTCTCTCCTTGATTAGTTTCCATCCGTTGCTTTTCTTGTCCTGCCTTCAGGGGCTTTGGAGAATAGCTTGACTCCCTCTTCTTTGGGGCAGCCCCTGAGATATTGGGACACTGCTATCATGTCACCCTAGTCCTTCTTTTCATCAAATTAGCCACGTCCAGTTCCAGCAACCGTTCTTCATATGTTTTAGCCTCCAGTCCGTCCCTTCATCCTCTTTGTTGCTCTTCTCTGCACTCTTTCTAGAGTCTCGACATCTTTTTTTTTACATCGTGGCGACCAAAACTGGATGCAGAATTCCAAGTGTGGCCTTACCAAGGCCTTATAAAGTGGTATTAACACTTCACGTGCTCTTGATTCTATCCCTCTGTTTATGCAGCCTAGAACTGTTGTCGGCTTTTTTTTGTCTAGAGCAATGTGTTTCAAACTTGGCTATTTCATGTCGCATAAACTTCCAGCTGCCACGTTAAGCTGCCACGTTTGAGAAACACCATTCTGGAGGCTTCCTGCTCTTACCCTTTTTTGCAACCAGAAATTTATGTACTAAGCATAAAGACCCGCCGTGTGCTAACGTGTCCTATCACAATTATTTTATCTTGTTCCAGGTGATAAATGTTTACCCGTGGTGTATTTTTGGAAAAAAAAAAACCTTTTTTGTTTTTCATTCAAATTTTAGGATCCACATTTTGTCCTTGATGTTCCCCTCGGAGTAATAAGTAGAGTGGAAAAGATCGGCGTGCAGAGCCACGGAGGCAATTCTTGCGGCATCGAGATTGTGTGCAAGGTAGAGATTGGATGTCTGCGGAGATTCTGTAGGCTTTACAGTTCTGGAGATTTTGTGACGATGCGTGAGTGGCATTTCGCGCATATATATATATATATATATATATATATATATATATATATATATGTGTGTGGCATTCAGCTTTGTTTTTTTTGTTCGGGTATTTTCCCACGTCATTGTTGTAGTGACGTTTTGGCAGAATCTCATCTGCCATTATCATTCTGCCGAAACAATGCTACAACTTTAAAAGCACAACTACAATGACGTGGGAAAATACCCGAACAAAGCTGAATACCATACATGTAAGTACCCATGAAAACTTAAGAAAACAAATATATATATGTGTGTGTGTGTATGTGTATGTATATGTATGTGTGTATGTATGTATGTGTGTATGTATGTATGTATGTGTATGTGTATATATATATGTATATGTTTGTGGTGATCCATTGGTGAGCAACTTTCCCAAGCTACTCACAAATACTGTCCTAGAAATCAAAAGTGTAGGATGGAATTTTACGGTGCCCGAAGCACCAATTAAACATGATCCTCTCCAGCGAGAATCGCCAATGTAAAATGCTTAAATTTCTATAAAGTGCTGTAATTTTTTTTTTATATATATATAAAACCAGTCAGACCTAAAGCTATCTTTCGACAGGATATGAGAAACTTGCGGCTTGCTTATAAACAGGAAGAACAGAGACTGGAGATTTTTCAGAACCTGATTACCAGAGCATTTCCTCTTTCTCATGGGCTGGTAAGCCTAAACAAAAAATTCTTACTCCTAGCAAAACGCATAAGGAAGAATAAAAGGATGTAAATACCGTGTTTCCCCCAAAATAAGACCCTGTCTTGTTTTATTTTATTTTTTGCCACCAAAAAGGCACCAGGTCTTATTTTCAGGGGAGGGGGGGGAATGTCATCCACTGACTAACGTCACCTCCTTTTCGCCGTCAGAGGCCTTCAGGAACTTCTTCTTCTGCAGCCAGCAAGGCTTTCCTAAAGGCCTCTGCAGCCAATAACAGAACTCTGGATCGATCTAGAGCTTTGTTATCAGGTCCAGAGGCCTTCAGGAAAGCTTTGCCAGGCTTGTTGGCTGCAGCCAGGCAGGCATCGGGGTTTGCAAGGCCTGGCTACAACTGTCCAAAGATAAGTAGTAGGGCAGGAAGGAAGGAAAGAAGGAAGGAAGGAAGAGTAATAGCACCTAGATTTATATACTGCTTCATGGTGCTTTCCAGCCCTCTCTTAAGTGGTTTACAGCCTCGTTCCCCAATAATCTGGCTCCTTGTTTTACCCACCTCAGAAGGATGGAAGGCTGAGTCAACCTTGAGTGGGTCTTTTTTCAGCGCCATTATAACTTCGAATGGTCACTAAATGAAAAGTTGCAAGTCGAGGACTGCTGTAATATTAAAAATGAGTTTGGGTGGTTATGTTTGCTGGCACGTAGGTTCATTCTTGCTTCTCAGAATTAAATCTGTCTATGAAAATCAAGAAGCAAAGTTCAGTGACACTAACCTTGGCTTTCCTTTCATCCAGCCATTCTTTGCGTTCACTTACAAAGAGAAATTTCCTACTAACGGTTGGAAGGTTTATGATCCGGTGGCAGAGTATAAAAGACAGGTGAGCCTGGTTGATTTTCATGTTTTGTATACCATCAGTGTATAGGAAAATAATCATTAAAAAATGTATATGTTTGAATACGAATTCTCTGCCAAGATACTCAAGATTGTTTACGGTATACAGTAGAGCTAAATGGATATAACACATTAACAAGATACCTGAAGAATAGGGAAAATACCAGGTGTCTACCTGTTTAATATACACACCAGGAATTTTAAACTTTAAGCTGCTTGCTTGCTGTGTTCCCAAACATTGCATTTGTGTAATTTTAATCCAGGGGAAAAAAAATATCACTCTACCGAACTATTTATCCCAATTAGGTTACATTTGCTTCCGGCAGTTGGTCTGTCATTATCAAAGTTTGATGTATATAAAAATGTTTTGTTTTTCCAGGGTTTACCCAACGAGAGCTGGAAAATATCCAAAATTAACAGCATGTATGAATTTTGTGACACATATCCTGCCGTTCTTGTTGTGCCAACCAGCGTCAAAGATGAAGATCTCTCCCGGGTGGCTGCTTTTAGAGCGAAAGGCAGAGTTCCAGTAAGTAAGATGGAGATTAAAAATGGAAGTGTTGATGTCAAACTTCTTCACACCCTCATACCATAAACTGACGTGTTTTCATGAATGCTTAAATTATAAACCGGATCATTCCTCGGGGATATAGGCTGAATTAAGGAAAGCTGGATTGAAAGAGGATGTGCTGAGTTTTAAAAATGGAGGAAGAATAGCACTTGGCAGACTTACATACCGCTTCGCGGTACTTTATAGCCCTCACTATGCGGTTTACAGAATCAACCTATTGCCCCCAATAATCTGGGTCCTCATTTTACCAACTTCAGAAGGACAGAAGGCTGAGTCAACTTTGAGCTGGTCAGGATCAAACTCCTGGCAGAGGGCAGAGTTAGCCTGCAACAGTACTTAGACTTATAAACCGCTTCACAGTGCTTTACAGCCCTCTCTAAGCAGTTTACAGAGTCAGCCTCTTGCCCCCAACAATCTGGGTCCTCATTTTATGGTACCAACCTCGGAAGGATGGAAGGCTGAGTCAACCTTGAGCCGGTCAGGGATCGAACTCCTGACAGTGGGCAGAATTAGCCTGCAATACTGCATTCTAAACACTGCACCACAACAGCTCCCATCTCCTCCCACTTATAGCTGTATGAATGTAACATGGTTGCTCGTATCCTTACAATTTTTATTATTATTCTTTTATTGACTGTTTACTAGTATGATTTGATAGGCCCTAGCTTATTATTATGTGTCCTAGTATGATTTATATGTTTTATATGTTTCCTAGTATGATTTATAGTACACTCTGACTACTACCTATGATTCTTGACATATGTATCTTGAGACCATATGCACCAAAACAAATTTCTTGTGTGTCCAATCACATTTATGTCCAATGAAGAATTCTATTCTTTTCTATTCTATTCTATTCTATTCTATTCTATTCTATTCTATTCTATTCTATTCTATATTCTCTTCTCTTCTCTTCTCTTCTCTTCTCTTCTCTTCTCTTCTCTTCTCTTCTCTTGATAACCTGTGCTGTGTCGATAAAATTAGTCTGATAGATGACAATACAAGGATCTTCAGGCTCAAGTACTAAAATTCAAGAAGCTCAGTGAAAGAATAGGAGGAGATGTAATAGGTGTTCCAGACGCTTTAAGTGGGCAGAGTTGTGTAAAAATAGTTGTCTGTCGGGGTTTTGTTGTTGTTTTTATTCTTGGAATACTGCATCCAGTTTTGGTCACCACAGTAGAGAAAAGATGTTGAGAGTCTAGAAAGAGTGCAGAGAAGAGCAAGAAAGATTATTAGGGGCTGGAGGCTAAAACAGACGAAGAATGGTTGCGGGAATTGGGTAGGTCTAGTTTAATGAAATGAAGGACATGATAGCAGTCTTCCAATATTTGAGGGGCTGCCCCAAAGAAGAGGGAGTCAAGCTATTCCCCAAAGCACCTGAAGGCAGGACAAGAAGCAATGAAGGGAAACTAATCAAGGAGAGAAGCAACCTAGAACTAAGGAGGAATTTCCTGACCGTTAGAAGAATTAACCAGTGGAACTCCTTGCCTCCAGAAGTTGTAAATGCTCCAACACTGGAAGTTTTTAAGAAGAGATTGGACCGCCATTTGTCTGAAGTGGTGTAGGGTTTCCTGCCTAAGCAGAGGGTTGGACTAGAAGACCTCCAAGGTCCCTTCCAACTCTTTCATTCTGTTCTTGCTATTTTGTACTGTATCTGATTGCTTCCCATTGATTAATTGCATCTTCTTTATGCATTCCATTTAACGTGGTGAATTTCAGCAAGGGCTTTATTTGTAAGTTAGTTTCTTTCTCTCCTCTTCCCCCCCCCCCCCCACCATCCTTCACCTCCACCCCCTCTCTTAACCTAGGTGTTATCCTGGATTCACCCCGAGAGCCAGGCCACCCTCACTCGATGCGGCCAGCCTCTCATCGGGCCAAACGACAAACAGTGCAAAGAGGACGAGAAGTACCTACAGACCATCATGGACGCCAACGCTCAGTCTCACAAGCTTTTCATCTTCGATGCGAGGCAAATGAGCGTTGCCGACACCAACAGGGTAGGAGAGACACACAGGAGGAGGAAAAGGAGGATTAAAGGAGCTTCGGCAAAGCCCCCCCAAAAGGCGATTTGGTTTCAGTTGAAATGTCAACTTGTCAAGTGTTCGTTATTATTTTTATCCCACCTTTATTGTTTTTATAAATAACTCGAGGCAGTCAACGTAACACTCCTTCCTCCTCCTGTTGGCCCCACATCACCAACCTTGTGAGGTGGGTTGGACAGAAAGAGGGAGGGACAGACAGACAAATATTGAAAGAGAGAGAGAGAGAGAGAACGAGAACACGCACTGGCTTAAGTCACCTAGCTCCACTTTCATGCAAAAAATGGGACTAGAACTCATCATCTCCTGGTGACTGGGCCAAAGTTACCCAGCTGGTTTTCATGCCTAAGACAGGACTACAACTCCCAGTCTCCTGGTGATTGGCCCATAGTCACGCAGCCAGATTTCATGCCTAAGGTGGGACTAGAACTCCCAGGTCTCCTAGTGGTTGGCCCACAGTCACCCAGCCGGCTTTCATGCCCAAGGCAGGACTAGAATTCACCGCCTCCCGTTTTCTAGCCCGGTGCCTGAACCAACAGACCAAACTGCTTCACCACACAATGCGTAGGGGTGATGGAAACCCACTGTAATTTCAGGCCAAAGGCGGTGGGTACGAAAGCGAAAGTGGCTATCCCAACATGGAATTGATCTTTCTGGAAATCCCGAATATACACGTGATGAGGGAATCGCTGCGTAAGCTGAAAGAAATCGTTTACCCCACCATCGACGAGTCCCGGTGGCTGTCCAACGTGGAGAGTACGCACTGGCTGGAGTATATACGGGTAACGTGGGATCGTATCGCGCTTATATCGTGCTTCTCTTTAGGCTTCCTTCTCTCTCCCACCGGGAGAGATTTCATATCGAAGTAGTTATTTTAAAGCAGAGGGATTCCCCACCTTGGCCACTTTTCATATCTGCGGACTTCCAACTCCCAGAACTCACCACGCAGCCATTCTGACTGGGGAATTCTGGGAGTTGTAAGTCCACAAGTCTTAAACGTCCCCAAGGTTGGAGACTCCTGCCCTAGCTCAAAGACTACCTGTCGTGCGAAGCCACCCCAAAGGTTCCTTGTTTGAACTAAGGCGGTGGGTTTTCAAGGGAGGAGGGTCTGCCTGTGGATTAGACGACCATTTGTCTGAAGTGGTGTAGGGTTTCCTGCCTAAGCAGCGGGTTGAAGACCCCCAAGGTCCCTTCCCAACCCTGTTACTTTATCTATCTCAACTTGGATTTTTCTTCTTCTCTTTTCTTTTTTCTCCAAATTACACATCTCTATTTACATTGTTAACGGTATCGTGTCATAGATATTACATATACTTGCATTTATTTCTGTACATTAATCCTTACTCCTATGTTCTAACCACTTATACCGTTTATCCCATACTGCATAGCATTCTGATTCCTCCTTGCCTTTTAGTTAACAGATAATCAGAGTTGGAAGGTCATCTAGTCATCTAGTCCAAACCCCCGCCCAAGTGGGAGACCCTACACTATTTCTGACAGATGGGAGCTCAGTCTCTTCTTGAAAGCCTCCAGGGATGAAGCTCCCACAACTTCTGAAGGCAGCTTCTGTTCTATGGGTTTATGGCTGTCACTGTCAGAAAATTCCTCCTTATTTCCAGTTTGAATCTCTCCTTGATCAGTTTCCATCCATTATTCCTTGCCTGGCCTTCGTTTGAAAATAGCTTGACCCCCTTTCTCCTCTCTGTGGCAGCCCCTCAAATATTGGAAGACTGCTCTCCTGTCTCCCCTGGTCCTTCTCTTTACTAGACTAGCCAAGCCCAGTTCCTGTAACTGTTCTTCATATGTTTTAGTCTCCAGTATCCTAATCATCCTGGTTGCCCTTCTCTGTACTTCTTCTAGAGTCTCAACATTTATTCAATATTCTGTTATCTCCTGTAGCCATCTTTGTAGCTTCGCCCAATATTTCCTGGCTTTGGGGCATTGCCACCACATATGAAAGAACGTTCCATCTTTCTGCTTGAATTTCCAGCACTCTGATTTCCTATTTGGGTACATTTTTGCCAATCTCACTGGCGCTAAATGCCATCGATAGAACGTTTTATACGGGTTCTCTTTATAAGCTGTTGACAATGTTAACTTTTTGGTCTATAATTTTTCACAATCATCTAGTTCTATACTACGACCTATATTAATTGCCCAGGCCATCATTGACCCTTTTAACTATTTCTTCCTCTTCTTCTTTTTGTCTAAAAGATGCTTCTGGCTGGAGCTGTGAGAATTGCTGACAAAATTGAATCGGGCAAAACCTCGGTGGTCGTACATTGCAGCGACGGTTGGGACCGGACCACTCAGTTGACTTCTTTGGCGATGCTCATGCTGGACAGCTACTACCGGACCATCAAAGGCTTCGAGGTCCTCTTGGAGAAGGAATGGATGAGTTTCGGCCATCGCTTTGCCATGGTGAGTATCACGCAAGACGGATGCCAGGATTCCGGCGATCACCCTAATTAAATCATAAGCCTCAATCCAAGCTTCAAAAAACTTCAAATGATTTATTAGGAGCGACATGCCGGCATGATCTGTATGAAGCCAACTGTTAGGATTCTTGTCGCCAGAGCGGGGTTTTGTTCAACAGATATTTTCTCAATGTGCACAGAGAGAGAAATATCTGCCTCTACCTAGAATCGAACTCATAGCCTCCTGGTTGTGAGGTGAGAGCTCCACCTCTAGGCCACCGCACCACTCTCCCAAGAAAGTCCAGTTGCCTTTTGAACAAGCATTCTAAGGCTGATCCATTTCAATTATGAAATGGCTGTTCCTTTTTTTCCCCCCCAAATGTTTTCTATCCATTGCTAACATCATACTCCCCAGACCTGAGGGTTGTATGGCTCCCAGGCTACATTCAACCTTTTGGCTGTCCCTGTCCAGCCTCCGTAGATGCTTTTATTTTGAAGGTGACTGGTATTTTTTTTCAAATTTGCATAGGTGCATGCATGCATTCCTATGGACCTTCACACCTATTGATTCGCCCTTCCACAACAATCCCAGATTCTCAAGTGGTCCCTTGGGAAAATGAATTAAATTAGATTAAATTAGATTAACAGAGTTGGAAGGGGCCTTGTAGGTCAACTAGTCCAACCCCCTGCCCAAGCAGGAAACTACACCATTTCAGACAGATGGCAGTCCAGTCTCTTCTTGAAAGCCTCCAGGGATGAAGCTCCCACAACTTCTGAAGGCAACTTCTGTTCCATGGGTTGAGTGTTCTCACTGTCAGAAAGTTTCCCCTTATTTCCAGGTTGAATCTCTCCTTGATCAGTTTCCATCCATTATTCCTTGTCTGGCCTTTGGATGCTTTGGAAAATAGCTTGACCCCCTTCCTCCTCTCTGGGGCAGCTCCTCAAATATTGGAAGACTGCTATCCTGTCTCCCCTGCTCCTTCTCTTCCCTAAACTAACCAAGCCCAGTTCCTGTAACCGGTCATCGTATGTTTTAGTCTCCAGTCCCCTCATCATCCTGGTTGCTCTTCTCCCCACTCTTTCTAGAGTCCCAATATCTTTTTTATAGTGTGGTGACCAAAACTGCAGGATTCTAAGTGTGACCTTACTAAGGCTTTATAGTGTGATATTAGTACCTCCCTTGATCTTGATTGTATCCCTCTGTTAAGGCAATTTAGGATTGCATTGGCTTTTTTGGCTGCCCTGAAATATTGGAATACTGCTATCCTGTCTCACCTGAATTGCCCACCCCTGTTCTACACCCATGAATGTGGGCTGCGTCCATCGTTTGCAGGCTAGGTTCCTACATGACAGCAACTTAACATATTGTTTGGCAGCATTCAGATGGGTGGACTTCAACTCCCAGAATTCCCCAGCTTCCTAAGTTCCATTTTATTTTTGTTTTCCTCTCCTACAGCGAGTCGGACATGGAGACGATGATCACGCAGATGCTGATAGATCCCCTGTCTTCCTACAGTTCATAGATTGTGTCTGGCAAATGACAAAGCAGGTGAGAAGATATCGATTCGTTTATTTATTTATTTTGTGTGTGTGTGTGTGTGTGTGAGAGAGAGAGAGAGAGAGAGAGAGAGAGAGAAAGAAAGAAAGAAAGAAAGAAAGAAAGAAAGAAAGAAAGAAAGAAAGAAAGAAAGAAAGAAAGAAAGAAATATACCACTCATGCATCATCACAAAATCTCCGGAACCGTAAAGGCTACAAACTTGAAATTTGGCACGTATGTTCCTCTTGGCTTCTAGGGGCTCACTAAGAAAGGATTTTTCAAAATGACCATCAGAGCATTAGCATTTCCTATATTATTATTATTAACAAGCTCTGATGCTAAGGAGTTCTACTCCCCCTTCCCACCTGAAAAGAAATCTCTTCCAAATGCAAAACACAAGCCGAGGAGAGGTGTTTCAGTTTCACAGCACCAAGCAGCTTTAGTACAGAACAGTTGAGCTAAGCCACGCCCAGGCTCCTTGCTGTCTCGTTCTTGCTCACACAGCAAATACTCTTTTCAGTTTCCAAACAGCCCTCAACTCTCTCACACACTGACAGGATGCTAGCCAGATGAATACTGATAGATCATAGGCAGAGGCAGAATTTTTTCCCCCTTATTTTCTTCCCCCAAAACTGAGCCCGACCACGTAGTTTCGTAGTGAAGCGTGGGTATCAAGCTAGTTTCACATATGTTCAGAAAGGCTCTTGGAAGCCAACCTAGAAAGGGTTTGAGTTAAACTGCTTTTCAAGCAGAAAAATCTAGAGTGATTTCATTGTCTTCTCTTGCTTAGGATGAGCTCACGCGAGCAATTAAAAAAACCCCTTTTCAGGAATATTTAGGCCAAGCATTTACACAAAGCAGCAAGCACTTGAATTCTTGTCTTTTGAAATATCATAAATAGACCTTCATATCTTGCTCAGATGAATTGGCCAACCTAGACATCTGCAAGAGCTGGGATTTGTTTTTGATCAACATTTTGATCAGGTTTCCCGCATCACTGGGAATCAAAGCCTCCATCCCTGGAGGCTTTTAAGAAGAGACTGGACATCCATTATGTTCAGAAATAGAATAGGTCTCCTGTGTGAGCAGGGGGTTGCCCTAGATGATCTCCAAGGTCTCTTCCGACTCTCGTTACTGTTGCCTGAACCGCGCTAGCCCAGCTGAGCATGTTGTAACACACCTTCCCCCCCGCGTGTGTTTAAGTCCACGAAAACACTCTCTGCTTCAGTGAGAAGTGGATTGCCTTTTACTCATGGGGGGAAAATATAAACTAAGTTGTGTTTCCATTTTAGTTCCCAGCCGCCTTCGAATTCAACGAGCTGTTTTTGATCAACATTTTGGATCACCTGTACAGCTGTCTGTTTGGCACCTTTTTGTACAACTCGGACCATCAGCGAGTAAAAGAGGTAAATAGTCCATGTGCAACATGATGATTGGATAAAACGGCGAGAAAGATATTTGGGGGTCATTTTTCTCGTAGAGCAGGAATATCTAAGCTTGGCCACTTGAAGGCCAGTGGACTTCAGCTCCCAGAATTCCCCAGCCAGCCATGCTGGCTGGGGAATTCTGGGAGTTGAAGTCCACAGGCCTTCAAGTGGCCAGACATGAACACTCGTGTGTACAGCATGAAAAGATTTAAATATTCGTCTGTCACAGCACCAAACTCCACAAAGTCTTTGACGTGAACACCATTCCTGCCTTTAAGAGCAAGTTAACATTTCTAGCCGAAACGACCAGCTTAAGGGCATAATGTGACACAGAAGTGTCTGGAGTTTGATCTTCCTCCCCGGTGGGTTAGATGTTCTACATTTTGGGTCTAATAATCCTCAATTTCCAGGACTAGAGATTGCAAAACCAGGTAGAAATAGAGAGCTACGTCTACCTTCCGAGTCCCCGTTGACTTCCAAGCCATCCAAAAGCTCCAGCTAGGTAGGATTTCTCTCCTGTTTTTTGAGAAGAGGTGGTGTCCTTTCAAATTGCTCTCGTATTCGAAGGAACGCAGCCAAATTGCATGGCTGTGCCACAAGATGGAGCTGAATTATAGATCCTTCCTAGCCTGGCTCTCAGCCTCTCATGAATGGATAATCTAATAAGGCAGCTCCCTCTTTCGGGGTGGGTGGGAGAGGGAAGAAGGAAGGAAGGAAAAAAAAGAAAAAAGAAAATGCCATTTAAGAGATGACTGTAGTGGAAACAAATGCTTTATAGCACCGGAGGAATAGAGAATTGCGAGAGAAATCCAATAACGGATTCCAGTTCTGAAACCTCGATTTAATAATGGCTGTATAAGAGAAGATTGCACTCGACTTTGAATTTTAATGACCCTGTTAAACGTAGACATTTGATTACAACGCACAATATTTTGGTAGGTTTAAGGATTACACCTGTTTTGTTTTTTTTCCCTACAGTTCCCCTTCATCGATTCTATGCTCTAGAATTCGCTGACATTCAGACAATTTCATTGTTTC